ACTGTCTGAGGATATTTTTTTTTTGTTTAAATTGATAACGACATGTATTCTGCGTTTCCATTTTTATTTTCCTTTTGTCTGTTGGAGTTATAGTCAATTCTAATATAGTGCATATTTGTATTTCAATCTTTTGCTATTTGACAGTATGTATAAAATTAATGTTATTATGCTATGTGAGCTGGCGGGTGATGCTGATATAACTTGGCATCACTTATTTTGTTGCACTTTTAAACTTATTTTTTTTTTTATTATTTTATTAATTATATAATTATATTTATATATATATATATATTATTTTTACTAGTTACAAATTATATATATTTTATCTATGTCTGTAATATCTGATGACGATACTTATTTTTCTGCTAACGAAACTGCTGAATCTGTAACTGATGAGAGTTTTTGTTCGGTACGCGGATCACTTAGCGATTTTTTAGATAACAAATTCTCAGAAAGTCCGCGTTACCTATTAAATATATGCCATATAAATGCGCAAAGCATTCCAAGCCACTTTGATGACCTCTACGATACATTCTCTAAGTGTAATGTGGATGCCGTTCTAATTTCGGAGAGTTGGCTCAAACCCCATTTTTTGTCCTCCATGTATTCCCTCCCTGGCTTTGTTTTAATCCGCAATGACCGTATAGGAAAGAGAGGAGGAGGAGTCGCCATATATTTGAGAAGCAATCTTCCTTATACAGTGCTGGCATCCTCCCCTCAGAATTCAAACTCTGCTGAGTTCCTTTTCCTCGAGGTCACGGTTAAATGTGCCAAGGTAATAATTGCCGTTATATATTGTCCCCCATATGTTGACTATTTCACCGACTTTGAATTGGTCCTAGAATCTTTGGGTTCGGAGTATGTTCACCACGTTATCATGGGTGATTTTAACACCAATCTCCTAGACTCCAATTCCCCACGTTCCCGTAAATTCCTGCACATAGTTGAGTCAAGTTGTTTACACATTCTCCCCCTTCAAGCCACTCATCACAACGTTTCAGGTGAAGACACTTGGCTTGACTTAATCCTGTCTTCCAACCCTTCCCTGGTTTCCACTCATGGACAACATCCTGCTCCTGGATTTTCTCATCACGATTTAATTTACCTATCCTACATCCTAAAATCTCCTAAGCCAAAACCCAAGGTTCTGTACGTGCGTTCTTTTGCTAGGATGAACGTCGACAAACTCTGTAATGATGCAGCTAAAATTGAATGGGACTCTTTGGTAAATGCAGATGGTATAGACGAGAAGGTTGACATTCTCAATGCCCTGGTCACCAAGCTGTATGACGTACATGCTCCTTTTAAAGAAGTTAAGGTTAAGCGTCCGCCGGCACCTTGGATGACCAAAAGTATTCAGATTGCAATGGGACGTAGGAACCGTGCTTTTAGGAAATTTAAAAAATTTCGGTCCGATGAAAATTGGTCTCAGTATAAATTAGTCAGAAATCGATGTAATCAGATGATACGCAACGCTAAACGCCGTTATATCCTCGATAACATTTCTTTGTCAACTCCTGCTGGTATTTGGAAGTTCCTTGGGACTCTGGGTATCGGTAAGTCGCGTGTATCAAACCTGCCCATCTCTATCGCTCTGGATGATTTAAATCACCATTTCTCTACCTCTACCTCGATGGATCGCCTGGCGATATGTGATACTATTTCTTATTTATATGGTTTGACGCGTCCCAATATTGATACGTTCAATTTTTCTCCTGTGTCTTCTGAAGAAATCAAAAAAACAATCCTCACTATCAAATCCAATGCAGTTGGATGTGATAACATTGGTCGACGCATGATTATTCCCATTCTTGACCCTTTACTCCCTGCTATATGCCATATCATAAACTTTTCATTAAACTCCAAGTCCTTTCCTACCATATGGCGTAAAGCTTTGGTGAGACCTCTCCAAAAGATTTCTAATCCTTCTCTCCCTACCCATTATCGTCCTATTTCGATTCTCCCCTTCCTCTCAAAGGTAATTGAGTCCTGCGTCCATAAACAACTGTCTTGTTTTGTTTTTAGAAACAACTTGTTAAGTCCTTTCCAATCCGGATTTAGACCTGGTCATAGTACCACCACCGCTCTCCTTAAAGTTACTGGCGATATTAGAGCCGGCATGGAGGAATCAAGGGTTACAGTCATGGTCCTTATTGATTTTTCTAACGCCTTTAATACCGTCAGTCACGATATCCTTTTAGCCATCCTTTCTCACATAATGGTTTCTGATGAAGCACTGGAATGGTTCTCCTCCTATCTTCGAGGGCGCCAGCAGTCGGTCAATATTGGCGATTCATCATCAAGCTGGCTTTGTCTGAAGAATGGTGTCCCTCAAGGCGGTATTCTCTCCCCTCTGTTATTCTCTGTTTTTATTAACTTCATCACTCATAATCTTCGCTGTGCGTATCATCTTTATGCCGATGACTTGCAGCTATATGCTCAGGCATCCATCGACACTCTTGATGAGGCCATTCTTAAGGTAAATGAAGATTTAGTCGCCATTAAGACCTGGTCAGATAACTTTGGATTAACCGTAAATCCGTCCAAATGTCAAGCCTTGGTAGTTGGAAGTTCCCGCACTCTTAGTAGAGTAAATCTAGTTAACCTTCCAACAATTGTTTTTGACAGCTCCCCCATTCCCCTGCAAAATAAGGTTAAAAATTTAGGTTTGCTCATTGACGGGACGTTTTTTGTTGGAGAGATCAAATAGCTAGTGTTAGCCAAAGAGTAACTAGTGTCCTGCGCCGTCTTTACAGACTTAAAAATTTCCTGCCGATAAAAACTAAAGTAACGCTCGTACAGGCCTTAATTTTTCCTTTAATCGACTATGGTGACGTGTGCTACTTTGACCTGAATGCAGATCACCTCAACAAATTAGACCGACTTCTGAATAACTGCATTCGATTCGTCTTCAATCTCCGCAAATATGACCATGTATCGTCGTATCGGTCACAACTAAATTGGCTAACCATTCGATAACGACGCTCCCTAAGAGCCCTGACCACACTTTTTTCTTACCTTAATTCCCCATTTACTCCTTCATATTTATCTCCTCACTTCCAATACCTTAGCACAGTCAACACGAAGAATTTTCGCTCTAAACACAATCGTCTTGTGTTATGCCCTCCTCATCAATCTGATTTTATCCATTCCTCTTTCTTTGTCCAATCTATCCTTCTTTGGAATGAGCTCCCTCTCAAAATTAGAATGGCCAAGAATCGCTTTGCTTTTAAGAAAATGGCACGCAAGTACATTCAGGGGAAATTGCCAGCAGTTTCATGACATCATCACATAAATGTGTATGTATATGTATATGTATATAATATATATATTTATTTATATATGTATATTAAAGTTTATATGTATATGTAAGGTAATACTTATTGTATCGTTTTAAAAGTATTGTATGCTGAATTATATTATGTGTTATATTTTTATATTTAATAATTACCTATGTATTTTTTTTTTCTTTTTAGTTTATAACTGTGTTTGTGCACCTACCTCAACTTCTCAGTACCACCCTAAGGTTTGACTGGTAGAAAATGCTGTCAGCATTAAGTCCGCCTATGTACTGTTTCGTGCATGAAGTTTAAAAATAAATAAATAAATAAAAATAAATAATTAGCTCGCTTACTATCAACGACTGCATCGCCACTTACCATCAGATGGGATGGCAGCCAAATGCTGGCCAGTTTTGAATAAAAAAAATAAAAAACAATTTAAGCGGTAACTATCATAATCATTAGATGGTAGACGTTGAACAAAATCGTTCTCATGTAAAACAAGGGATAATTTTGGATAATTAGACGGTTCGCGATAAGATATTTTCCGATGTATTTGCGATATTATCACCTGAGGATAAGCACTTACAGTGCAAAATATAATACTCTGTACAGAATATAATTTTAGTGCAGTTGGGATGAAAGTCGAGACCGAATATTGAAAACGACGGTACCTTGTATGTAAAATTGTTAAAGTATTTACTTATTTCAATCCGTTTTCAAGCCCAACATGCCCCAGTGCTTTTAATTCACGTGCCGATTGATTAACATGAGGACAGATAACTTAAAGAGAAAACATTGTCTCGTATTTATGTACACAGCCATTATCCTTACTAATATTATAAATGCGAAAGTAACTCTGTCTGTCTCGCTTTCACGCCTAAACTACTGAACCGAACTAAATGAAATTTGGTACACAGATAGTCTAGAGCCTGAGAAAGGATATAGGCTATTTTAATTGAATTTTTTTTTAAAGGTAGATATTTATTTAATCAATCATCAAATGATCCGATGTTAACTGATCACCGCTCTCAATGGACATCTACAATAGAAGCGCGAAGACGAAACGCGGAAATATACTACTTTCAAGCCTATCTTCTGTGAGGCCATGGTCCTTCCCTGGATGACCGTGCCCATTCTTGCAACAGTAGAATCTGCTGCTAGCCTTACCACAGTGACTTATGTCCTAAAGTTCGACACTTACATAAAACTGATGAATCTCCCCCACTTTGACAAACTGGTTACAGCGCTGCGTTAGGAACTCGAAGATGGGCGGCACGAGCCAGTCGATCAACTCTTGGATGAGGTCGAACTGTTCTGGGATCAGTTTCTTGCTCAAGTGTGTGTTATACGAAGCCAAGAAGGCACGCCAGCCTGCCAGAAATGTCAAAGCCTACAATTATTTAAATAAAAGATTTCTTTTATGTGAGAAGATGGCGAGCGAGCTGGCGGGTCACTTGATGTTAAGTGATAAGAACCGCCCATGGACATATGCAACAATCGTAAGGTTGCAGATGAGTTGCCACCTTTTAACTAAGTGAATCCCGGCTACCTCACTCACCAGACGAAACGCAGAAGTATAATGCTTCCACTTCATGCCTGTCTTCTGCGAGGTCGTGGTACTTACCCGAATGGACCTGCCCATTCGTGCTACAGCGTGGACTCACCACAGTAGGATATAATATTACTAAATAATCAATTTCATCCAGGTGCTTTACTATTTTTTAGTTGTCGTTATTCTTCTTGCTTAAACGAAGTTTTGCCACATCGTTCAGATTGCGTACGACATAGAATAACGTGAGTGTGTTCACGGCACAAGCCTATTACGGTTTTTGCAGAGCCAACTAATGAACAATTAACGATACATAATACTTACAATCTGTTAGTACGATGATCAGGTGCTGAATGTGAAACATCATTCCAAAAGAAAGAGTAAGAGAGATGGGAAATGGTACCTAGCTGTTCGGGCTCCATGTAGATCATGCCGCAGCGGGACACCGTGGCGGGTGACGCAAACTCCAAGTCCGCAGCCTCAAAGATCAGATTCATCTTGTTCGTCATCTGCAATTCCAATTAAATCTTTCAAAATTCTAAATGCATAATCGTTGCACACGAGTATTTGTAACGAGTACATTCACTGAAAGTTTTTAAAAATTCTATCGGGCGTGTGGCTTATTTGATAAATTAATTCGGGGTTATATTCCGTTCAAGATTCCAAAGAGGATAGGATGAGATTCTAGGGTAATAAGATGGTTCTACATCTGGAGAATGAAAACGAAATGATTGGTCACGTTGGTACCTGTATGATCTCGCCGCTCATTAGGCAGAGCTTCTTGTTGTCGTCGAGGACTGTGTTCATGTTCTCTATCCAGACGGCGTCGACCGGCCCGTCGAAGAGTATCCACTTTCGGTCGCGAGTCATCGACATCGCGTACTCGCGGAACGCTATCGCTAGTACGCCGTCTGACCTGCGATACCCCTTTAGTTGGCAGTTGGCATTCGCTAAGCATACGGCTTTGGCTCCCTGGGCTCAATTCCCGCCCCAGGCAAATTATGTTTGATGTATAAATGACGCAAATGAAAATTAAGCCATTTCGTAATCAGCAACTTTGGGGCCTCTTTAATACTTTTGACGATCATATAAATGATCAATTGTTACTATACCATTCATTTAATTGCGATTAAACTATGATGTTGGTGGGAAGACCCGTGAAGTTTTCTGTATTGATAAAACATCAATACAGAAAACTTCACATTATATTTGTGAACACGTAATCTCCGCCTGTCCCTTTGGATGACTGTCGTTATTATTTACGTATATGATCATGCATACCATTCGTGCGAGGCGGGGTCGAAGCAGCCGTAGAGCTGGCCCATGGTGATCGCCTTCGGGTTGAGGATGCGGTAGATGGCGCCGAACTCCTTGTGCCGTGGCGGCGGCTTCATCAGCTGCAGCGCGCGCAGCGACTCCGCCAGCGTCTGGTACGCCTGCGTCTTCCCGCCCATCGGGGGGCCCACTATCATGAAGCCGTGCCGCACGAGCATCATCTCGTATATCTAGGTATTGACACGACAAGCATTAAATTTTGTCATCTCGTATATGTGGATGTTGACACGACAAACATTGAAATGTGTGTGGGAACGAAAACCGACCGAGCGCGAGTCGGTGTCGCGCACGACGGGTTCCATGCCATTTATCTATAAAAACGGCAAAAAAATCATCTCTGTTGTGTGGGATAGTTTTTAGGATTGATTTGTTATAGCGGCAACAGAAATACATCATGTGTGAAAATTTCAACTGTCTAACTATCATGAGATTGTGTCGACAGTGTCACGACACTTCTGCGTTTCGTCTCGCGAGTGGGGTAGCCGAGGCCCAATTTAGTAAAAGGTGGAAAATCATCTACCACTCTACGGGTGTTGCAAATGTCCGTGGGCGGCAGTTGTCAGATGACATCCGGTGACCGCCAAATCGTTTGCCATTTTCTCACATAAGAAAAATAATTTTCAGGATTTCAATAAGTATCTCCGGAGCCCAAGATCCAATACGGAGAGACCACATGGGAAGCACCAGCTTTCAAATAAAAAAAGAATCATCAATATCGGTGCATTCCGTCGAAAGTTCTGAGGTGACAAACATAAAAGAAATACAGTCGAATTGAAAACCTCGTCCTTTTTTAAGTCGGTTGAAAAACAGAGAATAGCCATCACCTGAATGATCTTCTCGAGGTACCAATCGGTGGCCTGCAGGTTGCGCTTGTCCAGCTCCTTGTTGATGCAGCCGAGGAGTTCCGCGCGGTCGGGCTGCGGGATCTCCACGCCCGGGAACAGGTCCGAATAGATCCCGGTGAACAGAGGCACGTCCTGGACGAGACGCGCCAATTTCAAACTTTCCAGTCACAAGCATTTCCGATTATATTTTCACAAAACTGGATACATAACAGACAGTACATACAGGGCCGGATTTAGGGGAGGGAACCGGGGCAACAGCCCCGGGGCCTCCACAAACGAGAGGACTCACTCCCACCGTAGAGACTTCGGAAAAAAAGAATTCAAATTCAGACTAATATACAATAGTAAACAACTTTTCGTTTCATATTTTTTTTTCGCGTTTTACTTTTATCTACAGTACTTTGTACAAAAATGATTAGATTAAATATTAACAGAAATCAATAGAAAATAATTTGGGCCTAAGGGGCCTCCACTCCTTTGTTGCCCCGAGGCCTCCAGACCTCTAAATCTGGCCCTGAGTACATATTAGGACAGCATACATTAGGTGTTTCAATATTTTGGCCTAAATGAGGTACAGCCGCATCTATTCCTGAAATATTGTCGTCTTTACTACAAAATCTAATTTGCATTTGAAATAAAATTACACTTAAGTTATGTAAAGTGTACGCAATTGACGTAACGATACGTTATTGTAAAGTTTTCATCATCAATACAAAAGTATATGCAAAACAAAAGTTTAAAAATCCTATTAGCAAAAATATTAAGAACGTAGGTACTCTCCGAAAAGTTTTCAAACGAACTCGTGTAACCAGCCTACAAGCATCCAGTACCAAGAATATTAGAAGAAACGCTATTATTCCGTGTAAAAAGCATACTTGAGAGAGGAACTTGGGCATGTTGACGTCGATGATGGCACGGAGCACCAGCTGGGCTTCATCACGTTCTGGATAGTTCTTCTTGAGGGCACCAGACGCCAGAAGAACGGACTTGACCGCTCGCATGCCGTAGTCGTAGTGGTTCTGGGAAGACAGCTGCTCCGAGCATAGTTTGTACGCTTGCACGATCTTGCGCGCTAACCTGCCGATTCAACAGTGATAAATATTAAAACTGGGTAAGTACGATATCGTGATTGCATAAAATAAAAAAAATTAAAGTAAATGCCTATATACGTCCCACTACTGGGCAAAGGCCGCCTCTGTACAGATGGTATTAGGGCATAGTCTATGTGAACCCACTGCGGATTTGCGGATTTCACATATCTTCGAAATATTTTTCTCTATTATTATTTCGAAAATAGGTTTCCTCAGGATACTTCCCTTTACCGTTGAGAATTTGATAAGTTAGCAAATAAAAACACCAATTACATCATCGGGGATTGAACTCAGGTATATCGAATTAAAAGCGAGCGCTCGGACAATGAGAAGATGAATAATAATTTAAACTTTGCAAAAAAAAATACACTCACTAGTCAGTACAGAAGGCAACTTTTACTATCAATTTTAATTGATTGTGAATTTTGGTTAAACTAATTGTAACAATTGTTGACACTCACGTATAACCCTTTATAACCTACTTAAACTACATTCCATACACAAAATTGACCCTTAAAATGAACTTAAGTTCAAGATAATCATGATGTATGAAAGCATTTCTGTATTACGGTCCAGCGTTCACGAATCCGTTGGAGTAGAGCGTGATCTCGCCGATCATCGCGTAGTCGGGAACCATCATGGCGACCGTCCTGAACAGCACCTTCAGATTGTCCGGCAGTTCCGTGCGACCGGCGTATCTACAGACGAAAAATAAATAAACATGTCACACTTTATAACAATTTCTTAGATTCATATTCTATTTTAAGCATGACATCACAGCTCGTAATGACAATAATAATCACTATTATACCTTAAAGCTTTTTCAAGAGTACAGTCGTTCTAAACATCTCGAACCTACGTAGAGTTTGAAACAAATATATTTTTTTTAACGTAAGAAGAGGGCAAACGAACTGGCGATTCACCTGATGTTAATTGGTAACCACCGCCCATGGTTATTGCTACACCAGCAGTTGCAGATGCGTTGCCAGATTTTATTAAGTGAACCCCGTTACCTCACTCAGCAAAGGAAACGCAGAAGTATCGCAACACTTTCACTTCACACCAGTCTTCTATGAGGCCGTGATAGTGACCCGCACGGACCAGCAATGTGGCCAGATTGATTTAAACGCCGATTAAATTTTAAAACCGATTTACTCTGTGATAAACTCTCTATGTTATTTGCGAACATTTGCCTAACAGCAAGGCTTATTCTCAGTTCATCTTTGCCCTATTGAAGAGCTATCAGTAGAAGATGAAACGATGAATTAACAGAACAGACTCTTCTTACTTCTTTTCTTATTCTATCAGAAGATAGAATCCTACTTCTTTTCTTGTTCTATTACAAGATAGAATAAGAAAAGAAGTAAGATTGAGACGTCAGCTTACCCCGGATTCATGGTGATGAAAACGGAGCAGGTCGGGTTAAGGCTGATCTCCGTGCCCTCGAAGACGAAACGCTTCTCCCTCCGCAGGATCGCAAGCTGGATGGAGAGGATCTGCTGCGCGACCACAGACAGCACCTCCAGCTCTATCCGGTTGAATTCGTCGAAGCACGCCCAAGCGCCCGATTGGGCCAAGCCCTATCAAATCATTTACTCATCGAAATAACAAATATACATTTCATTTCCCGAAAAAAAAACGTATCTTCCATATTCGCACGTAGCTAAAGATTAAAGTGCGAAGATACCATTATGTTCCGAGGCACCGTGAAAGTCTTTTTGGGGTTCCGTATCCAAAGGACAAAACGGGACCCTATTACTAAGACTCTGTCTGTCTGTCTGTCCGACTGTCTATGTATTTCTGTTGCCGCTATAACAAAAAATATTGAAAAACAGAATAAAATAAATATTTAAGAGGGGAAGCCCCACTTAAATATTTTTTTTATTCTATATACAACGGACATGATAATTTTGTCGTATTTAAAGATGATGGTGCGGAACCCTTCACGTGCGAGTCCGATCCGTACTTGGCCTTTTTTTTGTAAACTCACCTTAAAGAACTTGCCCAGCGCCTTGTAATCGAGCCCGTCGGAGCAGTTGAAGACGACGCACTTCTTGGCCACGGCCTTGGCCAGGTCTTTGGTGGTCTCCGTCTTGCCGGTGCCGGCTGGACCCTCGGGCGCCCCGCCCAGGTTCAGCTTCAGGGCGCTCATAAGCGTCCTACGATACCAAATCGTCGTAGCTTTTTAGTAGGGTGTCGTCCTACGATACGGAATCGTCCTCAAGTATTTTCCGTCGCGTAATTAGAGAAAACGCGTGAGTTTTTCGTTTTGCGAATTTGTTAAGTGCAATTTCTTTTTCTGGTGTATGTGCTCGATAGTAGATTTGAGTTGAGTAAAGAGTGAAGGCCATTATAATTGGTTTTGTCATTCTTCATCGTTTATGTGCAAACATGTGTGGAACTTGTTGTCACAGGAAAATCCAACTGTAATGTGACTTACGTTAAAGTAGATAAGATTTATTAAAATTTGTAAGATTCTCGTCGGTGTGGCAATCAGCCTTTTAGTTTAGTGGTTAAAGCGAAGACGTGGGTTCGATTGCCACAGCGACGAGTGACTTTTCGTTCTTCTTCTACAAATTATAATGTTTCATATTAATTGCAGAGATCAGCACTATAAAAATTTATATTTCTCTAGCGGACCGGACAGACATTGTCCTGTACACATGACTTAAATTCGACAACTTAGAAAATTGCAGTGTACCGAATTGTGAATCTAAACCATTCTCGAATCGACCTGAAGACGTACAAAAAGTTTCGTTAAAATCCGTCCAGCCGTTTAGGAGGAGTTCAGTGGCATAGATACGTACAGAAGAATTGTACATATAAAAGATAAGACACATTTTATTCGATTGCATTGTAATGAGCACATAGTTTCACCTGTAGCAGCGGTCGGTGAGCGGCGTGGCGACGAGCCGGCCCGTGTTGCCCAAGTACTCGAAGCCGTACTCCACGTCGGTGGTGATCATGCAGCAGAGCATCCGCTCGCCGCGCCAGTAGTAGCGCAGCTGCGAGATCCAGTTGAAGTCGGTGATGTCGGCCACCCCCTTCTGCACCATCTCCTCGAGGATCGAACGTCCTGACGAATTTCAACATCGATCGTTGTTAAACCAAACTATGTTTACGGATTTATCGCGTTTATTTTTGCATAGGTCGACGCAAAAATTAATAATTTAAAAACTGACGGTAGCCCGTGTTGACAATGACATTCAAACATCCAACGTCTCAGTCTGTCCCGTGACCATGAACGGGAATTTAAATAAAGAAATAAACGAGATAAATCCGTAAACATAGTTTCATTTAGTAATGTTTAAACGCGTAAAATTTTCGATCATTATCATTCATTAATATGTATTTTTTCATTTATATTTTAATATCTATTTTTTAATTTATTTTTTATAATATATAATTTTTGGTAATGGTCATAGTTTAGTATAATCATCTGGTTTAGCCCTATGTCTACTTTTACCGATTACTTTGATGCAATAAGAAATTATTCCGATGACTCCATTTTATATTCACTGTGGATGACATTCTCTTTTTCGTTTATTTTTTTTACGTTTTGCAAACATAAATTTCACGTGAACCAACACCCAGATGCGAAACAACTATCTTTGGGTCACACAAATAGTTGTCCCGTGTGGGGATCAAACCCATGACCCCCGACGCCGAAGCCAATAAATACCTTGGCGACTGCACCACGGAGTCATCGTTTAAACTATGGCACCCTCACATTATAATATCAGCTGTGCAGCTAACGTTTTAACATCCCAGTTTAACGCCCTATTTTCAAAAGGTTGTCAACGCATCTGCAACCCTCGGGTGTTGCAGATGTCCATGGGCGGCGGTATTCACTTAACATCAGGTGAACCGTCTGCTCGCTTGGCAACTTTTCACATAAAAAAACCCCGTTTATCAATATGCTTTAGTAGCAATTAGCATTAACCATACCATGCACATCGATGACAATGAGTGCCTCGACCGTGATGCGGTTCCCGGGATCCAGATCGCCTTGCACGAGGTACACCAGTCCGTTTATTTGCTGAGTACAGCGGTCTATAAGCTGCGGCAGGCTTGATGACTGTATCGCTTCTATGACCTGCCAGCAATCGTAATGAAATTATTATGATTTGACATTCGCAATAGCGATCTAGTTGAGTAACTGAAGTCGAATTACAGTAGCACAAGTTGGCTTTGCGTGTTTTGAGTTCCGTACCCATACGGTAAAACGGGAACCGTAATAGGGTCCCGTTTTACCCTTTGAGTAAGGAACCCCATAAAACCAACTAAAGTAGTCGCCGTAGCGGAACGAGAGGTCAGAAAACTAACTAAAGCAGTCACCGTAGCGGAACGAGAGGTCAGAAAACTGACTAAAGTAGTCGCCGTAGCGGATCGAGAAGTCAAAAAACTAACTAAAGTAGTCGCCGTAGCGGAACGAGAAGTCAAAAAACTAACTAAAGCAGTCACCGTAGCGGAACGAGAGGTCAGAAAACTGACTAAAGTAGTCGCCGTAGCGGAACGAGAGGTCAGAAAACTGACTAAAGTAGTCGCCGTAGCGGAACGAGAAGTCAAAAAACTAACTAAAGTAGTCGCCGTAGCGGAACGAGAGGTCAGAAAACTAACTAAAGTAGTCTGCTAATAAGACGGGACGGCGCTTACCTCCACGGTGTATTGCACGCAAGAGCCGGCCTGCACGATCTGTCCGGGCCAACTGAGGACCCACTCCTCGCGCGGCACGCCCGCATAAGCGGCCACCGCCTCGGCAGCGACGTCCCGCAGGCTCACCATCATCTGCTGCTCCAGCTGCTGCAGCCAACGCTCCACCATACCCTGTCCACATCCTTACTAACTTAATATTACAAACGCGAAAGTTTGTATGTATGGATAGATGTTTGTTACTCTTTCATGCAAATACTACTGAATGGATTTTAATGAAACTTTACAATAATATAGCGTATACATCAGAATAACACATAGGTTATAATTTATAAATATATTGTGTGAATTGTCCAAAATATAGGCAAATATATTATAAATATATTAAAAAAACTCATTGATGGCCTTTAGCCGCGCAGGCGAAGCCGCGGTTAAGAGCTGGTAAAGTAATATTTGTCAAATGGCTTGTTCAATGGCAATTAAGTTGCCAAAAGGATGGTCAAACAATTGTAATTGAAATCCACTAAAACAAAAACAATTCTGAAACAATTTTGAAATCCAAGTGTTTACCATCCTTTTGGCAACTCAATTGACATTGAAGAAGCCATTTGACAACTAATTAGTTAATTTCTACGAGTACGTTAATCAGTCTTTCAGAAACCGGACGTGAATAATTCATGTCTGTTTTATCTGTCTACTTTTTCTTTGCTATCGTCAAATCTTATGATGGAGAGACCATCAAATGTTGAAGAATCGTGAAACAAACAAAAGTTTATTCGTAACATTACATATATACTTTCGATGAGTTGATATCTAAGATATTTTCTATAAATTAGGCAGCGGTTTATTGAAAATATTACTCAGCTGAATTTAAATATTACAAAAACTCTATAGAGAATATATTCAAGTGAGGGCGATAATAATGACCTTGGCATCAGCTGGCTGTATAGTGGAGGACAACTTCACAACCTCGCCCTCAGACGACGCCATGCCGACGATTTCGTCGGCCGCATTGAATTCAAGCGTGTAAATGCCCTCGAAGCATTTCTTGAGATGGGGTTGAACTCTCATCGGATCCTTCGTCTCGGACAGAATCTCCAGCAACTCATCGTTGGATAAGAAGAAGAATCTGAAATAGAATCATATTTTAATGAAATTCAAAATTTACGTTAATTTTTTTCCAACATCGACACAAAATCGTGACGATATTTTCTTAACTGTAATACTTTTATTGTTTACTAGCTGTCCCGGCAAACGTTGTTCTGCTATATAAATTGTTTCTAGGGAATTTGTAGGGTAGAAAAAACTGTTTAGGGTGGACCACCCTTAACATTTAGGGGCGATGAAAAATAGATGTTGTCCGATTCTCCACCCTGGCCTATATGCACACAAAATTTCACGAAAATCGGTCGAGCCGTTTCGGAGGAGCTCAATTACAAACACCGTGACACGAGAATTTTATATATTAGATAACGAGAAATGTTATTGTTTTTAATAAGAATTAGCTTTGGAACTGTAGATATTACGAACTTTATAAAGTAGCAGTAATTTTCATCGTTACTAGAGTACTTTCGTAGACGCTGATCCACCTTTATTTGAACTACTTACCTTGGGAAGAATAGTCTCTTCTTCTCCAAATAATCGTTCAATCCCCTCTGTATATCATCCAACAGGACGTTGTTGTACTTCAACTTCTTCAAAAGCGAGGGGAAGTCGGTCGCGGTGAGCACCAGCGGCTGCTTCTGGGTGGCTTGCATGATGACGCGCCATTCCTTGTCCACGTCGCGGAAGTTGCGCGCCTCGGTGGGCATCTGCCTCATGATGTCCTCGGAGGAGAAGATTGGCTCCAAATACATCCAGGTGGCTTGGCACTAAAAACACGACGGGAAAAATGTGTATCCAAAACGAACAAATGTTAAAGGTCCCTCACTCCCTCTTTCTCTCTCTCCTTCTCCACCCCCTCTCTTTCTTTCTTTCTCTTCTTCCCCCGCCATCCCTTTCTAACTCGCTTTCCTTGTTTCTTCATGAATCACTGCTATTTTTAAATGTAACAAATAAAAAATATAGACAGAGAATAGGTAAGTGGGTTCTCGGCTACCATAAGATTTGGCCCTTAGATCCTGAAGAAAAAAATAGTAAATAAAAGGAACTACGTGTGTTATATGGATGTAAGCAGATGCTGTTGTTTAATAAGTAGCGGAAGAGCAACGACATCTACCTGCAGCCACTGGTCCAATATGTCTTGCATGCTGATCAACTTCTCCTCCCACGCGGCCATGTCGGCTTCGAAGGCCTTGACGTAGGGAGATCCGCGCATTGTCTGCGACTTCAGGATGTGGTCGTCCAGCAGTTGCTGGATGTCGTCGAGGCCGGTCAGTACACCCACGCCGGTATCCCTGAGGACGAAACGAAACTCAGCGGTATATCCTCACTTCCTTACTAATATTATAAAGGCGAAAGTTTGTGTGTATGGATGGATGTTTGTTACTCTTTATAACTAACACATAGGCTATAATTTATTACGTATAAATTTTTATGTATATCTGTCTTTCTGTCTGAATGTAACGCCTTCAGCCTATTCGACGCAGACGTAGTCGCGGGCAGCAGCTAGTAATTCTAAATTATATTACAGTATACAATATAGACCCAAATGGGCGTAGTGGAGTGAGAGGTGCGAACTCCACTACTGGAAAAGTATTGTGTGATGAACATAGACCTTTTCTAGAAGTGTTTCAGGGTGTTTGACTAGATAACGTTGTGTAATACTATGTCCAGAAATATTTATATAATTTATAGTAAGCAGTCTGATAAGAATATTAAATCTCCCAAAAACAGTAACGTAAAATGAAGTAAGAATGACGAGATGATTTTTTTTTTATATGAGCAAGTAGCAAGCGAGCTGGCGTTTCGTCTGACGGTTCGTGATAAACGCCATCCCTGGCCTGGCCATTTGCAACACTCGTAGGTTTTCGGACGGGTAAACTTTTTAATTAAGTGGACCCCGCTCACCACACACACGAAACACAGAATTATAAGACTTTTCCATTCGTGCGACAGCGGAGGCGGTCGCGTGGCCCTACCAGAATTTAGCACACTGGACACAATATGTACGTAATAAATAATGTTTGTACGTAAGAATATCCACCTATTTACGAAAAAACAATCCACATCGCGTCGGGGCCGTGGTGTCACTCTGGAAGTACCGAGGTTTAGATTGGCTAAAACCAGAAAGTCGTTTCTTGGAAAGATGCATCAACTTTTATAATAAAATAGGTGACATCCACAAACAACTAAGTATAAACAATTTCAAACAATTTGTAAAAGCTACCTTAATGGCAAGGCCCTACTATAATATCCAAGAATACATTGAGGACAAGGATGTTTGGAAATGACTCTTGCTCTGCACTTGCAAGACCCCTGGCTGCTGCTGATTTTACACCTAAATAAGTGTGTATAATTGCATCAAAAAAAAATATAACAAAAAGAACAAGACCGCAGAGTTTCTTGCCGGTTCTTCTCTGTGCAGGTCTAGTTTAGTGAACCGGTGGTAGATTTTTTGTTGACGTTCAATAAGAGCTTAACTTAGGCCTAAATTGAATAAATATACTTTGACTTTGACTTTGACAGAGACCCCAGGAGATGATTGGAGCCAATTACCAAACTAGTACCTGTACGGCATGACCTCGAACTTGACCCCGACCCACTCCTCCTTCATCTTGACGAGCGCCATCTCCAGCGAGTGCTCCTTGGCGGCGTGCTGCTCGATCTCCTCCAGCTGGGGGGCGAACACGTGCACCCCCTGCTCGACCATGTCGGCGAGAGTGGTGCCAGGGGCGTGCACCACTTCGGCGCCGACCAGACCGCTTATTTGCGCCCAGTGCCTATCGCGCATGCCCTGATAAAAGTAGTTAGTAAAGTGACAGCGTATACTGGTCCCACTGCTGGGCAAACGCCTCTGTACAGGTATGAGGGCATAGAATCACCGCGCGACCCCGGATTGGCGGACTTCACATATCTTTGAAATAACTTTTTTTTTGTTATTATTTCGAAAATATACAGGCGCGATGTTTTCCTTTACTGATCATTAGAACTTTAAAATATTATTTTAATTGGTGCTGACGTCGGGATTCGAACTCCGGTTGCTCGAGTATATTGAATTAAAAGCTACCGCTCGGACACTAAGCTATCATGGCCCTACACGGCTTTTACAGCTCTCCCATACCCTACACGAATAATATAAACTGACCGTTGTTTCACGTAAGTCGTCATGATACCGTTAGCGATTGCTGCGTTGATCGGAATAAAATTAATAATTTTCTAGCTGACAATAGACAGTTCTATTAAGCGCGAAAACGGGACGTCAAACATCACGGTCTGGCTCGTATTCGAAACATAAGGTTTTTGAATTAAAAATAAACGGGGATAAAATTCCTAAGTTGGATTTATTAAAAAGTGCAATTTTCGCGCAAATAAAATACATAAGTTTATCTGTAATATGACTAAGCTACAAAACAAGAAAGAGTGTAATCTCGTGCTATGTTTCTGCTTACATGCATATTTACTTAAAAACTTGGCTAGCACAGTTGGTAAGGTATTGCCGCTTATCCAAGTGTAATCTTTTTAAGTATTTTTTAGAGTATACGATATCTCATCGCACGCCACTGTCAGAGTCATATTTTCAACCAATTATAGTTACATATACACATATATAGTTGCCGACAAACTGCATCACAGTTTGGCAGAGAATAGTTTATGTGATTTTACTTTATTACTGGATTAAATAAATAAAAAACAATATCTTCACTACCGTACGTAGACCTCACGAAGTGGCTCGAGAGCGCTCACCCTGTTGCAGATGGCGCACAGCACCGGCAGCAGCACCTTGAACTTCTCCACCTTGTTGCGCACCATGTCGGCGATCCTCTTGGCCCCAGGGTACTCGAACAGCTGCTTGCCCAGCTTGTACAGCAGCTTCCACCACGCCTCCACGTCCGTCGATATCTGCTCGGCGTCCAGCCCGAGGAACGGACCGTGATACCTGCAGGGATTGAGGCAAGACTAATTCGATGAAACATCGACGCCCGCTTTCTGAAACAATTGGCTAATAATTAGCTATCAAATGGCTTTTCAAATGTTATTTTAGTAGCTAAAAGGATGGTTGAACTCTTTGAATTGATCAGAATGAATAGAATGATCAAATTTAAATAGTTTCATCAGCCTTTTGGCTACTCAAATGATATTTGAAAAGCCATTTGACAGCTGATTAGTTAATTTCTACGATGATCGGTGTTTCGGAACCGGGCGTAAATCTTCTAGGAAAAATGTACGAAAAGTTTCTCGCGCGATTCTAACTCACGTCGTCCGGATTCGCACCCGGACGATTTAACCGCTAAGTTTAACGGCTGACAATCGTGCCGACGAAAATTTAAACGTATTTTATCTACGTAATGTTTTTCCCATTTTTAAGCATTTGGGTCATCTTTTGTTATGTCGTTTAAAGCACACACTTTAATTAAACCAAGCTGCCCGGCCAGACGCTTCACTCTTTCCCGTAAACTCCGTTGCTACATGTTTTTATAAATTATAAACAACGACAACAAATCATTTGTTTTACGAAAAAGATCTTCATTTAAAAGTTACGACCCGACACACTCACGATTGCGTATACATAAAAATTAGCTGATATCTCTTGTGTGTGACAATGTCACCGCACAGGAATTCTATTGAATAAAAAGTTTCCCATACGTCAATCCAGTGTGTAAGCTATACTAGTCCCCAATTTTGTTGAAATCCGTCATACTAATGAGACGGAGAGTCAGAGCAAAAAGAGCCAATTTTCACATGTATAATATTGCTGCGATTATATGAGCATACCATTTCTCGTATCCATCGTAGAAGTCGTAGGCCGTGTGCCAAAGTTTGTGGAAGGGTTCGATGCCAGTCAGCATCGTTTGCAGACTGTAATAGGCCGACACCTCTTGATCTAGTAACGTCTCCTCGTTAATAATATCATCCGCCTCACGCTTGTCGTCCTGTTAATAAAATACAACCTCTTGATACGGACCGATTTTCACGTAGGATGCATGTAGGTGTTTATAATCATCAAGCGTTTAGAACGCATACAAATTGTACTGGGTCACATACTTACATATATTACATAGGTAATTTACAAATATTCAATAATATATAAATTATGTATTGTGTATCCTTCTTGAATAGTCTAAATCGTTAAATAATTAATTTCTGAAAAAGGAACCGACGCTCCAGACGTTAAAATTAAACATTTAGTTTCAACAAATGAATTATAGGTTTTTTAAAAGTTTATTATTGACAACTGATATAACTTCAAGATTAATTTGATTTCTAGTGCTGTTCCATAACTCAAGATGAGAGAACATAAAATGTGATATTTTCTAGATAAATTGTGAAAAATTTTTTGGTGCTAAGGCGCTTGTGGCTGGTGCGAAGGTCGCAACACTACATGGCGCCAATCATTGCTAAAATGCTATAAAGTAGATACATTTCGCGCTATTCAAGTCGTGAGGAAGTCATAGGTTCGAATCCCGCTGTGTTTTTAACAATAAATGACTTAACTTTCTATTCTCACCATCAAGTTTTTGAAGATCTCATCAACCTTCGCGACCACCTCTTTCAACAGGTCCAGGTTCAAAAGGGGCGGATCGAATCTCCTGAACAGTTCCAACTCCTTTTCGTGCCGTTTCAATTTATCCTCGAAGATGGCCTTTTTGCTTCTCAGCTTATCCTCTGCCATTGTCTTCTTGGTGTTTAGTGTCTTTATTGTTAAATCGAGGGTCTCCTCCATGTCCAGAGGCCAGAGGAACACGCGTGTGTTGAGATTAATGTCTTCAACTAGAAATATTAATGGATGGTATTTATCGTTTATAGATATTTTTTTATATCGGTCTTTTCTGTGCAGCTTAAAAAGGCATGTCAAAGAATATAACCCTGTTTAATACGTTACAGTCGATAGTACCAAGGTATACATTTTTATTTAAAAATTATCTACGACGCTCTGATGTCTATTTACTTTCAATAATGCAAACTTTTTTTTTATCATACACAAGCATTGCTAAATGCCGTAATAGCTCAGTGTCGGGGCGCTCGCCTTTAATTCAATAATCTCGAGCATCCTGAGTTCGATCCCCGGTGCCGGCACCAATTAAATTGTTGATTTTAAGTGCTGATTTTTTACGTGCTCTGCGGTGAAGCAAAACATCGTGAGGAAACCTGCATATTTTCGAAATAATAACGAAAATATATTTCGAATATATGTGAAGTCCGCCAATCCACAGTGGGGCCGGCTGGTGGACTTGTATACGCTGTCACTTTTTGTTGTTCCCTTTATTAGAGCTTGCGCGATAGGCACTGCCTTTGCCCGGCAGTGGGACATGTATAGGCTGCTACTTCACTGTACGCGGACAGGGTATGCCACCCACAGGGGAGATGGGCGTGCTGCATGAGGAAGAGCAGGTACTCGGCGGCGGTGCGCGCCCTCTCGCGAAGGTCGAAGAGCGCGCAGTCGCGGCAGTCCAGCACGTACGCGAGCAAGGCCACCAGCTGCGCCGTGCTCTCCGGGCTCTCGGAGGCGCGCGCGGCCATGTCCTCGTACACGTTGCAGATGCTGACCGCGAACAGAGATTGGACCTCAAAAATGTGACAGCAGTTCAAAAATGAAGGTAGCAAGGCTTTGGACCTCAAAAATGTGACCGGACTGAGATTGCCGTTTTAGAGGACGTAAATGAAGGGACCGAGACATTGGACTTAAAAAACCGGCCAAATGCCAGTCGGACCTGCGCACGGAGGTTTCCGTACCGTTATCTATAAAAACGTCTAATAAAAAAATAATGTCTGTTTTATGGGATTCCCACTTGAACATTTTTTTATTCTGTTTTTTTAGTATTTGTTGTTATAGCGGCAACCAATATATCATGTATACATTACCTGTGAACATTTCAACTTTGTAACTATCACGGTTAATGAGATGCAACCTGGTGACAAACGGACAGACAGACAGACAGCGGAGTCTTAGTTCTTACTAAAACCCTAAAAATGAAGCAGATGCCCCATTCATGTAAACGTTTTTGTGTATTCTCAGCGATAATTCTTCACCGCGTCGCTCGATTCCAATCAGTTTTAATTATTAAGAGAGGGTTTCCTCACGGTTGGTCAACATTTTATGATGGGATCCATGAAAAAAACATCAAACTTTTTAATTTGCAAATATTTAATGTAACGTTGATTGTAAATCGTTTTTTTAATGTTATTTATGGACACGGTTTTTTATTATTAGCTATTTTTTTTATTTAATTAATTTTTGCAAAAAAATACAAGCTTCTTTCTTTTCCCAAATCCTTGAGGCGATTAAAGCGTGAACAAGTTAAAGATACAGAGGCGCTATCCCACTCGATCTAACGATTCTTCATCAAAGTGATGTGAGACCTTTGTACTTTATCGGAACACTTTGCCTTGCTAAATGGAACTATGATAAGTAAGGTTTCATCTACATTTTTTTTGTTTATTAAAAACATTGCCGTTACTTTGGGATAACATTATCCTGTGTCCTTACAGGACGTTTTTACAAACATAAACTTCACGCGGACAAACACCCAGATGCGAAACAACTATTTGTGGGTCGCACAAATAGTTGTCCCGTGTGGGAATCGAACCCACGACCCCCGACGCCGAAGCCGATACCTTGGCGACTGCGCCACGGAGTCATCAAACGTATTGAATATTTATACAACATTGGATCGCATTTGTGCAGTAGCAAAACAATTTGATCGCTCACGATCTGTTCCACTTCCGGTTCTCGGTGATGAAGTGGTCCACGATGTACTGGCGCAGACCGTCCACGACGCCCCACAGGGTGTCGTTGATGGGGCCGCAGTCCAGCATCACCATGTTCAGGGGGATGTCCCGCCGCAGGAACAACACCTCGTCGCGAAGCGCCTCGTACTCGTGGATGCGAGCCGAGAAGTCCTGAAGATTCTCGATACTATGTGTGGTGATACTCGATAATATGTGTGCAGATGAAGTGTCGGATTAAATGTCTTAATGTCTAAAAGATTCAACGATTTTCTAAGTCCATTAGAATGTAATAGAGTGGAATTTTTTTCTGGTCATTGTTACGTAACAGGAAATATTCTTAACAAATTTAAAATTGCTTCCAATTATACATAAAAACTACGTTACGTTTTATCATAGGCTAAGGCTCTTCGATCGTAGAGGTTTTGTAATATAGTTCAATAAATGCATCAAAGCTAACTTAGAATTTGACCACAATGCCAATTTTTGGGATAAGAATATTTTTTTCACGGGGGAAAATAGTTACCCAACAACCAATTCCAGAAAATATCCTTGGAGGCGATGAAAAACTACTTATTATGAGCATTAGCTCCCTTCCCCAGGATTTCTAGGGCTTAAATAGGATCAAAAGCCGTGAAATTCTGGTTGTAATGAAATTAAAATGAAAAGTCTAGACTTATTTATTGTATTAAAAATTGATCCTGCAACATTGTTTGAGGCCGATTTGATTCTTTAGACGGGTGCAGAAATCCAAAATTTAAATATTTATGTGTTTATTTATTGAATTACCAACACAAGTTACAGTTGCTGAAGACCAGCGTTAAGTGGAAGTGTTACACTTTTGCGTTCTGGTGAGTGAGGTAGCCGGGGCCCACTTTATTAAAAGGTGGCAACGCATCTGCAACCCTACGGGTGTTGCACATGTCCATGGCCGGTGCTACTAAACATCAGGTGAACCGCCATCTCGTTTGCCACTCTCTCACATAAAAAACATATTATGCGCCATCATTACGACGTGTCAATGAAATTTGCCTCACCTTAAGAAACGGCGGTGGTTCTTGAGCGAAGAACTGCAACAGCATCTGGTGGGCGGTGCCGTCCAGCAAGTGGTAATACTCCTTATAGCGGTTGAGGAAGCTGAGGGGCCCGGGGCGGTTCACTTTGAAATGCTCGACGGTTCGGTCGATGATGTCGACCATGTACGGCTCGTCGGGGTGCACGGGCAACAAGTGGGGTCTTGGACGAGTAACGTCTGACAGAAAAAAGTAAAAGTGAGGTAACGGCCTGCTTATGCCCCACCGCTGGGCTAAGGCCTCTTATACAGAGGGTGTTGGGCATATTTGTTTATTTATTCATACACTTTATTGTACACACCATAACAAAACAAAATAAAGGTTACAAAAATAGTTGTTGTAACCTTTATGTTGTATATATATAGTATACGTATATGTTTATATGTATTTTTTATGTTGTATATGTGTATAGTGTAGGCATAGTCCACCACGCGACCCCACTTCTCACACCTTCGAATTATTACTTTTTTGTAATTGTTTCAAAAGCATGCAGGTTTCCTCACGATGTTTTCCTTCACTCCAGAGTACGTGATAAGTCAGCACTTAAAATTGACAATTTCATTGTTTCCGGCTTCGGGATATGAACTCAGGCTGCTCGAGTTTATTGAACTAAAACGAGCGCTCCGCGCACTGAGCTATCACGGCTCTGGCAAAGCATAACAATAATTAACAATGGGAACCCCGTATCCGGAGAATTTTGGATTTTTAGCATTAATACTCAAATAGCGATCTGGTAGGACCTTTAAAGATTTAACCGACGCATTTAGAGAATTCTATTTACTGTTAGATGGCATCAAAGTATTTATTACGTAAGCAAACCAAAAATTCTTATAGGTCCTCTAGTTGAGTAGGTGATTCTTCATTTGTCTCTATGCAATTTATTTGGTGTGGGTCTTGTAGTGTTTCCAACTTAAAATTCAATGTACCATTTAATCCAAACATCCTAAGTCCGCAAAAAAAAGCAAAACAAAAAAAGATATAAACCAGCTATTTTCAACGAACATAAAAAACACGAGTATTAAAGAAAATCAAGATATGTATTTATATTTCAAACAATCTTACCTGAAATAAGAATGTCCATTATGTATTTAAAGAACATTAAAAAAAGTCTGTGTAATTCTCAAACGTCTCGAACATAAAAATCGATTAAATGTAAAAGAAAAAATCGATTAAACATCCTATTTACAATGTCCGCTATCATGTAGAAAAAGGATGCGATATAACACAATCTTAAGGCGCTTACTTGGGTACATTATGCTGTCTACGCTCGGCAGTTGGCTGTTCACATTGATGATCGTATGGAACCACTTGATGATGAGCACCCTCATCTGATCGAAGCTCGGCTCGAAGGTGATGCTGGTGGTGCCAGGGGTTGCGATCACCTTTATGCGCAGCAGCGGGTTCTTGATAAACATGTAGTCCTGGTACTCCTCTCCGTAGTCGTTACCTTCCTGAACGACGTAAGGTTTTATTGATTTCTTTTGAAAATAATATAAATATCACAAGTCGTATCACCTTCCTGAACGTCGGATTTTTTTCCTTTTGAATTATTATAAATATCACAGTAAAGATTAATACACTCTTAGATGGTGGTACAATGTAAATATAAAGGCGAAAGTTTGTATGTATGGATGGATGTTTGTTACCCTTTCACGCAAATACTACATTTATGGATTTTAATGAAACTTTACAACAATATAGCTTATACATCAGAATAAAACATCTATATTAATATTATAAATGAGAAAGAAACTCTGTCTGTCTGTCTCGCTTTCACGCCAAAACTACTGAACCGATTTAAATGAAATTTGGTACACAGATAGTCTAGAGCCTGAGAAAGGACGTAGGCTATTTTTTTAATTGGAAATTGTTTTTAAAGAAATATATTTATTTAAGGGCTTCAACGCGAGCGAAGCCGCGGGCGAGAAGCTAGTAGGCTATAATTTATATACATATTTTTATGTATATCTGTCTTTCTGAATGTTACTCCTTCAGCCTATTCTACGCAGACGTAGACGCGGGCAGCAGCTAGTAAATAAATATTTCAAGACGCAACGCTCGTATTATGGTTACCAGATAAGTGATAAACATACTCAAACATAGTTTTCTTTTGTAAATAAATACATGATAATTACATAAAGACCCAAACACTATGTTCATCACACACTGTTTTCCAGTACCAATTTTTCTTTGTTTGCATAGTATATGAATATCGAACACCTAACATTTTATAATACATGAACGTACAAAACACTGCTCCTTTTTAATAACATTGAAGACGTTTTACCCATTTTAAGATTGTATTTTTTCATTTAATGTTGTATTTATAGAATAAATATGCATTTTTCTCACCCAATAATATGAAAAATATTCAGCGAAATGTTTCACGCTCCGTTCAACCAAATCACGAATTTGCCTGGACATCAAGCTGTGAACGCAACTGTGGGAGAAAGTAAAGAATTAATGAAATAAGTAATTGAAAAGAGATTTGTAAAAGAGATAAGTAATAATAATCTCTCGATCTTTTGCATTATCTCACCGAAAAATTCACATTGGAGAGATAAACATGCCGCGGCTTATGCTGTTTCGCGTATGGTCAGGCATTTCCGGTCTCACAGAAGAATGGCGTGAAGTGGAGAAGTTATAATTTCACGTTTCTTTAATGAGTGAGGTAACCGGAGCCCACTTTTCGAAAAGCGTAAACGCATCTACAATTCCACGGGCGTTGCAAATGTCAATGGACGGCGGCTATCACAACATCAGGTGCACCGCCAGCTCACTCGGCGTGTTCTCACATCAAAAAAAACGAATAGTTTTAAACTTGACTTGAAAACTTCAAGACCTCGACACTGAACCTGAAAAACTTCTCCACTTGAAAGGTGGACGAGTTCCTCTGCTTCGCGACGTAGACCGACCAGTGCTCCCTCATCTTCACCATCGTGTCCGCGACGTCGATCAGCCAGTTCTCCGTCAGCTCGGCCTTGGTGGCGGCGCACAGCTTCTGAAGGCGCTCCGTGAAGTCCGAGGGGTACTGCGGGAACGGCAGCCCCTCCTGCATCTTCTCCATGTCGCAGATATACATGCTCTGGTATCTGCAAACGGGAAACCAGAATCTAATAAACGACTCTAGGATATTGGACATCCGAACTACCCTGTATAGCGTAAATCGTATACCTACGAATGTATAACATATTGTACAAATCCCGGTGTTGGCACCAATGAAATTGTTAAAAAATTGTTATTTAACATGTACTACATAAAATTTCCTAATAGTTAGGTGAATATTGTAATACTCTTTTGAAAAAATAAACATAATTTGAACCTAATTATAAGCGCTGGCTTATCAAGTGGTCAGCGGTGAAGGTAAACATTGTGAGGAAACCAGCAGTCTTTCGAGAAAACATTTTTTTTTATAAAAATAATTTTTAATAATATAAAAATGTGAATCCTCCCCTCCCCTCAATGCACAGCGGAGTCACGTGGTAGACTATGCCCTATAACCTCTGCACAGAAGAGGCCTTTGGGTAACAATGGGACTTATGTAGGTCCAATCCGCAGCGGGGTTGCGTGGTGGACTTTGCCCCCTCTGCACAGAGGATTCCTTTGCCCAGCATTGGAGCACATACGGGCTGCTATTTAACTCATCTTCGTCTCACCGTTCGTGCCACAGGCGGCGCAGCTCGACCAGCACTGGGTTCCCGTGCGCGAGGCGGTAGTGGAGCGCGTGACGGGCCCTCACCGCGCCGCCCCTCCACGGCGCCGGCGCGCGCACCACCAGCGCCGGCCACGGCGGCGGAACGTGCGAGATGGAGAGACGCGCCCTCTCGCTCGGATCCTCCAGAACGTACGTCAGGACACACCTGAGCGAACGACATCACGCTACCGTAGCGCTTTATCAATTTAGATTGCAGCATACATCTGAGCGAACGACATCATACTACCGTAGCGCTTTATCAATTTAGATTGCAGCATACATCTGAGCGAACGACATCACGCTACCGTAGCGCTTTATCAATTTAGATTGCAGCATACATCTGAGCGAACGACATCATGCTACCGTAGCGCTTTATCAATTTAGATTGCAGCATACATCTGAGCGAACGACATCACGCTACCGTAGCGCTTTATCAATTTAGATTGCAGCATACATCTGAGCGAACGACATCATGCTACCGTAGCGCTTTATCAATTTAGATTGCAGCATAAATGTGAGCGAACGACATCATGCTACCGTATCGCTTTCTCAATTTAGATTGCAGCATACATCTGAGCGAACGACATCATGCTACCGTAGCGCTTTATCAATTTAGATTGCAGCATACATCTGAGCGAACGACATCACGCTACCGTAGCGCTTTATCAATTTAGATTGCAGCATACATCTGAGCGAACGACATCATGCTACCGTAGCGCTTTATCAATTTAGATTGCAGCATAAATCTGAGCGAACGACATCATGCTACCGTATCGCTTTCTCAATTTAGATTGCACCATACATCTGAGCGAACGACATCATGCTACCGTATCGCTTTATCAATTTAGATTCTAGCATACATCTGAGCGAACGACATCACGCTACCGTATCGCTTTCTCAAGTTCAATTCTCACTTTGTATTTTTGAGCCGCTAGCTCGTTGTCTGGGCGCTCGCTTTCAATTCAATATACTCGAGCAACCTGAGTTCGATCGCCGGTACCGGCACCAAAGAATTTTTTTATTTCAAGTGCTGAATTATCACGTGCTCAATAATGAAGGAAACATCGTGAGGAAATATTTTGTATCAGGAAGAAAACCAGATAAAAAATGAAGTACGTTGCCAAACCTCATGATAGTTCTGGCTATTTCAAAAATCAGTGTTGAATCTGTGATAGACCCATGCAGCAGTACCGCTTACCTTTTCATCGCCGATACAAATGATTCCCGGATTTCATTCTCGCACTGCCTGACGCACGCCTGATAGATGAGGACCATAAGATTCCTCTTTATTGCCTCCGTCTGCTTGTCCACCTGCGCTTTGGCCCGTTTGTACAGCGCTAGCGGGAACTCCGGTATGTGCTTATCGGTAAGCGACTGAAATCGAAGTAATTCTGGTGTTATATGATTTTTGTAAACCACGTCGACGTAACAATGTAACAAATACTTAGAGTTAAAAATTTCAAAAAATCCGAATCCGTACCAGCTATAATTTAGTAAAGACCTACATACTGCTTGTTGTCTATTGAAGCAATTTTCCATTCGCTGTTACAAGTTGATCACAATATGGTGTTTCCACAATGTGGTACCTAGATATCACCATACTGAATATTTAGTACTGTCTTGTCTAACTCGAAACTCCGTAGATTAAGACAATTTGATTGACATATGAATCACAATCATATGTGGACGGACGACGTAGCTAAGATCGCAGGGACGCGTTGGATGCAGGCCGCTAACAACCGGTCGAAGTGGAAGTCAATGGGGGAGGCCTATGTTCAGCAGTGGACGTCCTACGGCTGATATGATGATGATGATGAATCACCAATATCGGTCAACGCGCTTGGTGTCTAGAGCCCCACAAACGAACAAACATACACGTACAAGCTGATTAAAGCGAGCGCACGGATGCCGCATTCCGTGCGTTACTTACATGACTTATCTTTCGCGTTAAAATCGGGTAAATGAGTACTATAGTGTAGCGTTAACTTTTAGTTTTCATATTTATCCTAACGTTAAAATGATTCATCGTTAATGAGACACGTTGGCTTGTTGAGAATCCTAGTGACTATCTGATAGCCAGTCGGGATCGTTAGTGGTGCTTTGTTAATTAGACCGATTCAGCATTGTATGGCCATATCGACCATGTTAACAACCAAAAAGACCCGAGAAGTAGACCTCATAGTCGCGATGGGTAAGACAAGTTGCAACATGGAGTGGTGGCAGCAGGCAGCGAGGGATCCATATAGAATTTTACCCTCATAAAAAAATAGTTTTTTAACTTTAAATTAAATTTTAGAAGGATTCCTCACGGTGATAGGGTTGTTACGTAAGTTAAAAAATACTGTTGTAAAGGCACGAGACAGTTCGCTGTTGCACGAATGGGCAGATCCGTCAGTTAAAGTACCTACCTACCACTACCTCAAAGAAGACCGGTGTGAAATGGAAGAGTTATTCTTTTGCGTTTCGTCTGGTGAGTGAGATAGCCGGGGCTCACTTTATTAAAATCTGACAATGCTTCTGCAACCCTACGGGTGTTGCGTAGGCGGCAGTTGTCACTTAACATCAGGTGACGGTTCACCTGTTGTTAAGTGATTGAAGTTCAGCTCACTTGCCATCTTCTTTTATAAAAAAAAACTGTCCTAACGGTGGTCATGTAGTACTGTATCCTCTCCAAGTCCTTGGGATGAATATATCTGTAATGCTCCTCCTCGGTGATCTTCAACATCTCCGCTTTCTGCTCGTCAGGACTCCGCGGAGTTTCGAACGATAATCTGGCTAAGTGCCTGTAAAAAAGTATTTGTTAATTACATATTTGGATCTTCTACTTACTACTTATTACAGGCAAAGCGACGGCGGCTTAATAGAACATTCACTGGAGTTTTTTTTTTTTTTTTTAATTCAAAACTGGCCTGCACTTGACTGCCTGTTGGTAAGTGGCGATGCAGCCGTTGAAGTACACCGGATAAGTAGAAGTTTATTCATAACACAGTAGCGTACAAGAGCGTTTTGACGAATAACCGAGTAGTAGTCACTCAAAAGTTTCCACCGCTGCACGAATTGGCCATCCCAAAGAGAAATATGTTCTGATAGAACAGAGCGGCGCCATTGTTCTGTGAGGGGCAGTGCGGCATTCTTTCGTGGTGAAATAGAATTGTCATTAGTCTTGCGTATAGTTCAGCAAGTGATGTCACCGAGGCCATATATGATACACTTATATAATGCGAGGCTCTTGGGTTACCGGTGGATATTGTGTTAATCGCTCACCATCACATAGCTAACTTACCACCTTGCCTTACCACTTGTTTGCCACCTTGTTATAAATATATACACATTATTTCATCGCACATCATTTATGATTATTATGACTTTAACAGATAAATTGTCGAAAAATTATCGGTGCTTGTAGGATTCGCGCTCAGACTACTCTACAAAAACTTTAATTTCAAATAGCAACGGCATCTCTCTTTCGATTATCGATTCGAATATCGTTTTACAACGATAATTAAAATTGTTTGGAATAAAAATAGGACATAACAATAGATGCACCAAGTATTGTTTATAATGCTAAAATACAATGTAGATAAAATACGTTGAGATTTTCGTCGATGTGGCAATCAGTCGTTGAGTTCAGTGGTTAAAGCTTTTGGACGCGAATCTGGAACTCAAATCGTTCGATTCCCGCGGCGAACATTTTTTTTTTACAAATTTTAATAGTACAAACGTAATTTTGGAAACGCGATAAAGAAGATTGAGGGGACTATTTAAACAAATAAGAAAGGCTTTTAAAAAGCTGTAAAAAAGTAAGTTTGGTACATACTTCTTCAACGCCTCCTGTGCTGCTAATTCCGCAGCCTGTTTTTCTTGCTGCTTCTTTTCCATTCGTCTCTTCTTCGCTTCCGCTGCCGCTGCCTTCCTTCTTTCGTATGCTCCCGATACCAGGTCCTCTAAGAGTACAAGTCCTGCAACAAAACTCATCTTTAGGAAAATCTACGTACTTAGAAGCCAGTCTGCAACAATGGCATCTTTAAAATAAAAAGGATACGTTGTTTCTTAAACATAACATTGCGATTTATATTAAACATAGTTTTTAGGCATTTTAACGCGTGTTTTTTTATTATTGTAAGTACAAAATTTTCACTTCCTAGTCTGGCTCTCCGCTCTCTTAAGACTTGATACTATGAGGATATCTCTTCTTTAAAACGTAAGTAATTTTCCACACGGCATTAAAACTATTTACTTTTTGTTCGCGCAAATATTTTGCTCCCTTGTAAACAAACATATGGCATATTAAAATGATAAATATCAGAATAATATTGATTTTCATATTGCAATAAATTATCTAAAAAAATTGATATATTTACGCGAACATTACAAGTAAATATAACAAAACTATTTTATGGATTTAGATGAAGAAAAAAAAAACAAATTCCAATAAAAATGAATTTTTCTTACCCTTGGGCAATTTCTTCTTGTCCTGCTCCTTCTTTATCGCTGCCAATCTTTCTTTCTCCCTCTCAGCCCAAGGCTTAAGAGGTGGGAACTGCAGCTCGCCGTTCGGCCCAAGAGGTCCATACAATTTGGGGGGCGGACGCTTCTTGGGTGGCATGTTTACGAGGCGCATTGTCTTAGTTGCTGGCGCGTAGCAATTGCCTGGACCCAGTTAAACAAACACCAGTTATTAATCAAGTGCCTTTTGAATTTTTTTATGCAAATCTCTGCGCCAAAGATGATATATTATATATTTCTAGAAAAAATTTAGCGTTAGCTTTAGTTACGGAACTCTAAAAACATTTGAAATATGTGTGAAGTCTGCTAATACGCTTTGGGGTGGGTTGTGATGAGCTATGCCCCAACACACTATGTATAGACTCCTATGTAGTCAGGGTATTAATTTCTTCGACCAGGACATATTTTAATTTTTGTAGCAGAAGCCAGAGGCTATTCAAATAGCTTCCAAACCAAAATGTAGAAAATTGAGATTATCTCACAATATTAGTTTACATCATATCATTAAATGTTTAAAATTACTGTAGATTTTGATTTTTTCCTTACAATTATGCCGGTAAAGCTTTTTAATGCTAGGGGCTCACCACAACACCGAGAGCCGTAATAGCTCAGTGTCCGAGCGATCACCTTTAATTCAATATACTCGAGCAACCCGAGTTCGATCTCCGGTGCCGGCACCAATTAAATTATTGATTTTAAGTGCTGGCTAATCAGGTGCTTTGCGATGAAGGAAAACATGTGAGGAAACCTGCATATTTTCGAATAACAAAAAATTTTTCGAAGATATGTGAAGTCCGCCAATCCGCAGTGGGGCCGTGTGGTGGACTTTACCGTAATACCGTCTATACAGAGGAGGCCTTTGCCCAGCAGTGAGAAATATGTAGGCTGTTACCTTACTTTACACCACCCAAAAGCGTTACAGACTACGGTTTACATGGGTCTTCCTATCCCTAGCCGGTGTTACGTGCAACAGAAAAAACCACTGTGTCACGAAGACACTACGAAGAACATGAAACAAGCTACTCCATGCCGTACCTATTGAATCCGAGGGTCTGGCGTGATCGAGCGAGTCCCTATATGGCACGCCCCTCGTCCATGACTTGTTAAGCATCAGCGGTGGAAACTCACTGCAGCTCCCCTCACCCTCGCCTGTATATCATAACACCAGTCCCTGACAAGACTTCGTTAGAGTTTGAGGTTTAATTATGAATAAAATTACTCTAGCTTATTGAAATATTTCCTGAGAACATATAAAAGACTAAGTTAAATTGTTACATAAATTCATTCCACTGATATTACCGCTCAGTGATGTTTTTTTACATAAATAATGTATAGCTAAATACCATAAATTTTAAGCCGAGTTGTTGTAAATCGTAACATCTATTCTGCTGTATATATCTACTTTTGAAATGCACGATATGAAGCAACGACGTTTGATAAAGTTTGCAGTTTGTGACTACATTAAGATTGATGACCGCCCAAAACATTACATAAAAATCTGGTGAAAATGATCATCCCCTTTTAAACAATTTAAAAAAAATCGAATCTGACAAAGTGAACATAAATTTTGTTAAACATATTACTTAACCAATTTGATTTACAACTAATCTTATAAACACAAACTAGTCTAATCGCTCACGCACACAAAAAGTCATGTCGGAGATTGCTCCATTGCCATGTTTAGGCGCTTTGACATTGCCAACGTGGGTACCCACAATGGTACGTGGTCATTTAACCAGTTACCATCGTGGGTACCTAACCTGGTATCTGGAACCTTCCCAGTGTCCCCTATCGTGTGTCCAACGCCCACTTTAAAGGTTGACAAAACATCCGCATAACTAGTTACCATCGTGGGTACCTAACCTGGAGCCTTCCGGGTTTCCCCTGTCGTGTGACCCGAGCCCATTTTAACGTTGACAACACATGCGCATACCCTCAGGGTAAAAGTTGCGTTCCGCTCTCAGTAGAGCGCTGTCCTCATCCAGCTCGTGGGGTAAGCCAGCGCGCGGCAGGTGGCGTGGGGCCGGCTGCCTCCGCGCCGGCAACGGCACGAACCGAGATTGAACCCTCCCCCGCTTGGGTGGCAACGGCCGGTTTCTATCGCCACTCGCCATTACCGTACTGAAAGGACTAACAGACCAACCGCTCGTATCAAACGATCGGTCGGTGGGACTTATATAGGTTGATAACGGACTTTCATTACTATAGATTATCTCGGTCCTGTGTAGTTGAAACGCCAGGAACCGTGTAATTTACTGTCTACATTCTCTTTCATAGAAACTTGCAATTTTTAAGAATTGCTATACAAGTACGTTAAATGGTTTAATGCCTCGTTTTGAAGAATGGGCCCTTTTTTAACAGTGTGCTTTGCCAATTGACCCAAAGTTAGTAAATCGTGCAAAGCACTATTATGACAAACCAGGTAAGATCTGTGCCGAATTTTAGGTTTAAAAATCTAATAGTTTTAGATTTCTTTATATATAAAGAACTACAAAAAACGAAACCAGAATCTAGATTTTTAAATGCAGTTCTATCATTCGCCGTAACAGAAAGATTTTCGTTAATAACTGGATTCAGCTAGATGGTTTGACATTGGCTCGAATGATGACAATAAAGGAACCACCGAGACAGTTATACAGTAAGTTTTTTTGCAGAAAAATCTTATTACTTTCACTTTAATTGCATTCATTAATAACTTACCAGAAGTCCCAAAGTAGTTACAAATGTAACATCATCTCACGACCCAGAGACTAATGTTGCAGAATATGATAAACGTCATGACGCGTTACCATGGCAACTGTTGCTGGGATTGCGATCGGAAGGACTTAAAGCTTAGGCCACACCGTAGCAATTATGACCAATTAATTGAATACACGGATAGCGTGATTGTTGACGTGGTCATGTAACCATCTACCATTGCGGGTACCAAAGTGTAAACAATTCGCGTTTTTCTGTTGTGTGAACGAAGCCTACTTTTTAAACGTTGACAACACATCTCCATCCCCTCAGGTGTTGTAGATACGGTGATCACTTTTTCAGTCAGGTTTTTACAATCAGGTTACTTTTTCCAAGTTTTCATATAAAAACATCTTATTCTCAGCTTGAGTGTGCTTTGTGTAGTATCGTGTTTTTGAAACCCTACGCGGCACAGATGTTTAAATAATGAGAAAGTAGTTCCTTAAAGGGAAATAATACGCAGTGATTACCCTTTAGCTAGACCGACCCATAACGTCACACAAGTTTTTTTTGGATATCTTGCTTTCAGTCATAAATATGCAAATAAAAAAAGACAATATAGATTTCCATCGCACAAGACCCTAACACGTCTGTTTTCCATCACATCCAAACAAATGCACTTTCTTGCACGTCGTTTCTGGTACCTACTTAATGGTATCAGTGCTGCTCATGAACGACGGTTGGTACGCTTGTAATATTCGTAGTTACGAGCGTACCAACTGTCATTTATGAAAAGTATATATAAGACTGCACAGATAGCTCAGTAGTTAAAGTGGTCACCTCGCCTTGGTGCACCATATCGGAGGTTCGATTCCAGCATGCGACAATAATGTTGATCCACAAACAGCCGCTCATTCTTCGTGCACAGTGCGTCCTTTTTATGTTTGATCGTAAATATTTATTTATATAAGATTATATAATATTTCGATGAAACCGTGTAGTCAGTGAAACAAGGATACCATTCGATGCCGCTGAGATCAGCTGCCTGAACTAGACACAGATGCTTAAGCTGGTCTCCGTGATAACGGCTAAAGCAATGTTTCCCAACGTGGGGCCCACGCCCCACAGGGATGCAATTTGATTGTTAAGGGGGGAAATTCGAAAATGGACTCGACACGAGTTTAACCCTTTCGCCAGGCCATTTAAATGCAATGCTAGATTTTGGTGCCAAATTTAACGAAAAAAGCAAATTCTTAAATAATTATTAGGTATGTTACATGGGCATACGAATTTTAGAAAGGCTAAAGTGAGATATGGCACAAAATTTTTGGCACCAATTTTTAATACCGATCACAGTTAGACTTCATAGAGACATGTGCTACTTCTGAATACTTCTGAATCCGCACAGTCACGTGAGATAGATGTTATATTAAACACACACTCTAACTTAATTGATTATACGCGATCATTGCTTTAGACACTGGTCTAAAGCAATAATAATTATCGTCCACTGGGGTCTAAAGTATAGATAAGCAGGCGACTGTCGGAAATCTTACGTACAACAATTATTATAATTATATTATATTTATTTTTACTTTTAATTCCCGACGCCTCAAACCCTTGACATTTACAGCGTTCATGGTCACGGGACAGACTGAGGCGTTGGACGTCTGAATTTCACAGTTACCCTGGGCCACCTTTTAAATTATTTATATTGTGTCCGATCAATCCAGAAGGTGCTAATTGTATCTTGTCTTGCAGTACTGGTTCGTTTGGGCATAGGTTAAATCGTATTGATGATAGAATCCCAAGCTGACGGTAGCACCCAACCATTTCCTCTATTGAAATCAGGGTGTTTTTTTTTAATTTCAATAGCCTTGCGAAATCACTTTGGGAGGAATCGGTTTTCTTTTGCAAGGATCTCTGGTCTATCCACATCTGGTATACCCCATCCGCGGTTTAAGGTGTGCTCAACGTAAAAAAAATTGTTGCATTACATTTATAAAAAAAAAACAGTTAATTTTTGTACCTAATTTTATTTTAAGCGCTATCGATTACCTTTTTCTTGAGATATTACGACGACGAAGTATGACGATATCGACCGTTTGGCTATCGGCCATTTTCAATATTCAACAGATTAGATAGATAGGTTGAATATAATAGATAGATTGAATATCGAAACCGGCCGATAGTCGCGGCAATCAGAAGACGTAGGTTGGAATCCTGGCAGCAGCGAAATATTCTTTGAAATATTATCTATACAATTTCATTAAAATTCTGTCAAATAGTGCTGTAAAATATTTAACAGTGTAATTAACTAAACGGACTAATTAACTTAACAATTTTCATAAAACTTGATAAGTTTGATTTTGATTACAAAACTAACATGATGTTATGATACATACGCAATGTACCATAAATTAAAACTATGATATAAAATTTATGATTTCACTTGGCATCATTGAAAGACATTAAATTTGTAGTACCTAAATGTAAAATAAAAGTGCAATTGTATTTTCAAACAGGCGTTTATTACAAAATTTTTTGCATTATCAAAAATTCATATAAAATATATTTCTATAACAAATAATACGCTACATACATTAATCGTTTTACCTATTAAATTATTGTCATGTACATTATGTTAACACAAATCTCAGATTACAACCGTTTACACAACTATAGCACAAAATATTATGTATTTATCACATTATTCAAAGTTTAATCTCACAGATAAAAAATGCATAGCGAATATTTAAAAAATACAAAAAAATATTTAAAAATGCTTTTTCAAAAATGTCTAAAATTACTCCTAGGACTTTTATAAATTTCATTGTGTTTCAAACATCGCATTCAACATAAAAACTATTAGTATTATATTTGCAATAGAAAAAAAATTATCTCAATTCGTTATAAATTAATAATTGCTATACGTTTCATTATTTTTTACAAATAATTGCTCTTTCGTTATTGTATATGCGTTGCGTACGTGAATGCGTTGAGTATAGAATACATTTAGAATGCAATGTAAAATATAAAGATAATATATAATAATACAATTCATTATAAATAACATATTTCTTATTTAGATCCCTACACTGTATATATTATTTATTGGTATAGGTGTTGTGTTTGTTTCGAAATAAAAAAGAGAAACTTTTAGCTAAATTATTATGTTACATTTATAATTAATACTTTTCGTCGTATGTATGAAGATATGCATTGATGACATTGGAAGTGAAATATCAATCTTATATATCAAATTATGAAAACAATTGGTCGATATAAATGTTAACAGATGATTTTTATAAAAAAAAAAACATACCTACATTGACCTATATGATCAGAATTCTTTTCAAATATGTTCGTAACATTTTTGCCAGTCTGGTACTGATGGTTATGATGAATAACCACGATCAATCAGAGGATTCATAAATACCTGTACTGTGTGTTTATTCTAATTTAACTCATGACAAGCGAAAGCACAGACCGTAAGTCTAGATATAAATTTTATTAAAAACTTACGAAAGGTATAAGATTCGATTTCCTAAATTGTTCAGATCAAAATTATAAACTGCAATACTTCTTGAATTTGAAAAATAAATAAAAAAAGAAAAAATACACTCGGAATACATAATTTTTCATACTTGGCACAATTTGGGAATATTATATCTAATTAAAATCAAAATAGAAGTGAGTGAGACAACAATTGATAGCGCCTTAGGCGGCTATTAAATGCAGAATTTTATTTCCTAAAAAAATATAATATGCTATTTATCGTACAACATATGAGTTACTATAAATTATTGTATATTTTATTTTACATTTCATAATAGCACCTTTAATTTATTTTGAGATGAATATTAGATAAATAACATTTAGTACCTCTTATGCAAACGTCCATTGACGTAAATGCACTTTAATCCTAAAATACGGAAACGTTATAATGTCTATTCTCTAATATTAATCCGGTTTAAAATCGAATCCAAGACAGATGAGCACACAGTGTCACAGAGCGAACAAGAAATCAATGAGATGCACTGCTATTTGTACGTTTCGATGTTTTTGAGTATGCGTAAATACAATAATCATAATTATATAAAATAACCATCGTGTATTTTTCGAAGATATGTGAAGTCCGCAGTGGGGCCGCTCGGTGGACTATGCCCTGACAACCTCTGTACAGAGGAGGCCTTTGCCCAGCAGTGGGACATGTATAGGCTGATACTTTACTTTTTTTAAATAAACAACAAAAATTTATTAAAACAATTCAATATTATGCTTACACGACAAATTCATAATACTTTGGAAGACTTATTGCAATACAACGACACAAAAAGGAGATCGTGTTGGATGAAGAAAAATTACTTTACAACCTACAAATTGACGATTCCGAGGTAAATTGATATGCGATAGCTCATTTGCTTCTTTAACCTTTTCATTATAGATTATATTTTATATAATATATGTCGAGCGATATAAGACTTCTTAGAGATGTGCGCTACCTCTGAATACTTCTGAATCCGCACAGTCACGTGAGATAGATGTTATTTTAAACTCACACTCACTTAACTGACATTATACGCGACCATTGCTGCGGATTGCAATTTTTTTTCTACACTTCATGGTGGCTAGACGGTCTTTTCGAGTTCATACAAGGTCTACAATAATTCGTCAATTTGGACTCCTAGTATCACTCCCGCCCACCATTTCTACCACAGCAGATGGTATCTGTGATATCTAAAATTTTCAAGTAGGCTTCGGATTCTGTAGAGGATAGTGGAGAAGATCCATTGGGATGTATCTTCACTATTATCATTGGCTAAATGGAAGACAATCGAGAAGAGTGGCGGATGCCGTCTAGGAGCAATTGAGGAGTGTAGGACGAGCAGGTAAACTGTAGAAGGAAGATGAAGATCCTTTGGTATGCATCTCTAATACCGGAATTGGTCCAGGGTGGTAGACGATCGAGAAGACCGGCGGGTGCTGTCTGAGATGGGAGAAGTTGAGGAGTGTAGAAAGACCAGGGCCACCGCATCCGTTGGGATGCTTCTCTATTATCAGCATTGGCTGAACGGAAGACGATCGAGAAAAGTGAGGAGTAGGAGTCGAGGAGTGCGGAAAGACGGCCAGGCGTAAGCAGAAGATCAGGACCACCTGGAGGGCTGCAGCTCCTCGCCGGAGCCCTGCCAGCTGAAGGAGCTGTCGGTGTCCCCGTCGCCGGAAGGCCTGTGGCGCTGGGGCTGCTGGAAGGGGTGGAGGCGGCGGGGCTCCAAGTGGTAGCCGGCGTTCGACGGCTTCCTGACCTCTTGCAGGTAGCGCCACGTGTGGCTGTCGCCGCTCTGCTCGCCCTTCGGGCTGTACAGCCACTCTGCGGGCCCGGGTTCCAATCGGGAGACATTAACACACACGACCCTCATCACTACATAGTATAAAACAAAGTCGTCCCGCTGTCTGTCTGTCCCTATGTATGCTTAGATCTTTAAAACTACGCAACGGATCTTGATGCGGTTTTTTACTAGATAGAGTGATTCACGAGGAAGGTTTATATGTATAATACATTGCACTTTGCGGTTTTTTTTATTTGTTACTGAAGAAAAATGAGATGATTGTTCACTTAATATCCACTTATGATGATTGATATTTATCCTATCAGAATTTCTTGTCGACCAAGTCTAATTGAGGTAAGACCGCGTAGCGCGTAGGCTTCTGTAGTTGCGCGCATGGACAAACCCGTTCTGAGAATTACAGATATCTGGAAGTGTTGTTATACTGTTGCATTTCGTCTGGCGATTAGGTAACAGAGGCTCACGGTTTGCAATGCATGTGTAGGTGTTATTCATAGCTGTCCAACGACGACGATCTGCTCACTAGCCGTCAGATACATATACATATTATATACCAAATCGCGTATTTTAACTCCCCTATACTATGAACACAAAAATATTTATGAATGGTCTACGTTACTTAACTGGCAAGCTATAGACGAGCTATACAGTACGTGTAGTGGTGCTACGCCTCGCGTAGAGCTACGGTAGTACCAGTATAGCTACGACCTATACAGCACATTTAATATGCTACGCCATATGTACTACAGCTTAGGCTACGCCACGCAGCTACGGGTAATGTAGAGGCCGATGCAGCTATATAATAATTGAGTAGGTCGCTTAGCGTGCTACGGGATGTAGAACGGTACGTAGGGGTCGTACCTCCATTGGAGACCTTGTCGATGGCGGCTAGCAGGAAGTCCTTGTCTCTTGCCTGTAGAACCAACATCCGCCGTAGCACGCCCACCATGGCGCGTTGCGCACGCGCACGCGCACGCGTGTAGTGCACACACACGCTACGCACACAGACAACAAATTTATATATCCACACGCAAGTCCAAAACGGCTTTTAACCCGAACGGGATATATGTTTATTTAACTGTTAAATAAGGACTTAAGACCTCAAATGTCATGATAGCAAGATTTTCTTAAATAAGATATACACTATTAAGGAATCTTCCTTTTTATAGACATTCTCTGCACTGAAGATAAAATAAAGGAAACATACGTCATATCCTCATGCGTACATAAGGATTTTACCTTCTCTTGTATCTCATCATGTATCTTCTCGCAGAACGCTTAACTGTGGTAGGATCACGGACGGTCCGACCTCACAGGAGATCAGCGTCAATTGGAAGTGTTACACTTCCGCGTTCCGTCTGGTGAGTGAGGTGACCGAGGCCCATTCTCTCAAAAGATGGCAACCTTACCTAACATCATTTGAACCGCTAAGTGGCTTGCCACCTTATCACAAAAGAAGCAAACCCAGAAACTTACCAGAGCGCAAGGAGCAGGAACGCGATGACGCCAGGTCTGGTGGCGAAGGCGAGGGTCGCTTGGAGGCCAGGGCGCCTCGACAGCTGCAGCACCCCCTCACCCACCACCGAGTAGACGGTGTCGTAATCCACGAAGGGGCCGCAGCGAGAGGAAGCGCTGGTGGTGATATAACCAAGTGATTGTGAGGTTGATTTGGTTTCAGTGGTCATCATGATGATAGTGTCAGTGATGATTACGATGGTGTTAACAATGTCGATGATTACAATGAAGTATACGGTACTGATAGCGATAATGTTAATGCCAGGAATTGTAGCGTCGATAGTGGAATTGGCGAAGATGTCATAACGACGGCGATGAATATGCTTGTGATGATAATATCACAGTCATTGCGATGATGAACAAAGTGATTGCAATGTTAATCACGCCTTTGATAGCGTTACGTTAGCATTGTTTAAGTTGTGTGTGAGGGATGTTATGCTCAGTCGGTTTTGGAATATTTTGGAATTCATATAGTGAATTCGGTTAGCCGATAATAAGGCATTAGATGCTTTGCGATACAGTTCAGTGCGTACTTATATTACACAACAATTAAATATAAGTAGTCCATTTAAGACTTATTTATTATTCTGCTGAGCCATCGCGGGCCCGGGTCCAGTGAATTTTACCCTTTCTTTATACAAATCCGATGGGGGCCCTATTTATTAGCCATTATGGTCTTTTACTTTAACATCAAAATAAAATTACTATTAATAGCGGCTCCTTGGTCACATGAGATGAAATAACAAAATTAATACTCATCATGTTATGTTAAATGGTGATCTGTGATTTTATTAGTAACTGTGTATACACGATTGATGATAGTTTATGTTTGTATCAGTTTAATATGTTCGTAATTCTTTTTCTTATACAAATAAATAAAAAAAAATTAAAAAATAGAACTGACTAGCATCCGATCACTAGCCTGACAAGCTTAAGTTAGAATTTTTAATTAACTTAACATGTTCACTTAGAATTCACAATTCGCTTGCTCGTTGGCCTACTTTTTCCAATAAAAAAAACCGATTGGAAAGACCACTTCGCTAAACATTATCTATTTGATTTTGAGATGTTTTTAACGTTGGTAGGGCCACGCAGCAGCCTCGGCTGTTGTACGAATGGGCAGGCTCGTCCGGGTAAGTACATCGACCTCGCAGAAGACCAGCGTAAACTAGAAGTATGATACTTTTGCGTTTCGTCTGGTGAGTGAGGTGGCCGGAGTCCAATTTTCAAAAGGTTGTTAACGCATCTTTAACTTTCGGGTGTTGGAGATGTCCATGGGCGGCAGTATTCACTTAACATCAGGTGAACCGTCTGCTCGCTTGGCAAATTTTCACATAAAAAGAAACAATCCAAAACAGCTGCCTCTTTTTTTTTAAATTGAAACGTGAATAACGTCGAAGAATACACTCGACGACAGTGGAAAAACAATATTGTTTTAACTTTGAGAATCGAACCCACAACACCCTCTGACAGTCGAATCCACTACGGAAATCGTAATGGTTTCAAACTCACCTCATGAATTGACTGCCAACCACGAAGAGGTTGATGAACAGAGAAAGGGTGACCAGCATATACAGCACCGTCTGCGTCTGGGCCGCCCGCCACACCTGAAACACGTTATCGAGCTCAGCCCACGCGTCCCACCGCTGGGATAACGCGGGGGAGCCCCCCTCCCATACCACCTAACTAAAAAAAGAAGCGTATTCTTTAGTGTGATGCCACTATTGTTCCATGGTCGATAACGGATAAAAAAAAAAAGTATCTTAAGATAGCGTTGGCCTATAGAATAGAAATCTATGTTATCGGACAGATTGCCGACGCTTTGCAAACCATTAAAAAAGTGAGCCCCAATTACCTCACTCACCGGTGGAAACTCGAAAGTGTAATACACTGCACGCCAGATAATTTCAGTGGTGAACAACATAGCGGCTTAGTAATAGTCTATAATACTGTATTCGGTATTATAACGGATTTCAAGACTACAATTGTTCCATTGTTTTTCTATATACATGACTCGTTGGCGCAGGGGCTAAGTCCCTTTAGCACCGAGAGTTATGGGCATTTTGTGTGGCCCACGGATAATTCCGGTTCGTCCCGCTGAGTTTCTTTCGCTGGTTCTTCTCATGTCGGTTGCTTTTCTTTTCCTAACCGGTACTAGTAATTTGACAATAAATAAATGTAGACATCACAAATAATTTTTTTTCCAATCTCAATTTAGATGCTGGGTGTTTGTTCAAATTAAGTGAAAATCGTAAGGAAAATCATGAACGACATGTTCGAAATGTTGTACCGACCCCACCTTTATGCCGTCACAAGACGGGATCGAACTGTGTACGTCAAAGGCTACCTTCCTCGCCGGCTGGCAGGCGCGCAACGCGCACTCCCTCTTCACGTAGAAGAGCAGCAGGAACTTGAGCGTTACGGCCACCGCCAATAAGGGCGAGAACAGCATGCCGTACCACAGCACCGCCTGGTTGTAGATCAGCGTCAGCGAGTTGTAAGCGATGCTGAACTCTGGCGGCGACGTGTTAGGGTTCAATCTGGAGTGGCGCGGTTACCGTTGAATGGAAGTCGGTGTTCGCATAAAAGTAAGAGATTTTCACCAAACGCTTCAGTCAGTCGTTCGTTCATTCGTTCATTCGTTCATTCATTCATTCATTCATTCATTCATTCATTCTAGCAGATTGCATGAAACCTTTTCGTCCGTTCCTTTGACAGTATATCACAAAATAGAATACAACATTTCAACGGACTATTTAAGTAACATTTGGACGATTGCAACACCGATTCGGATTCATTCTGCTTCCGAATCGCACTATTAATAACATAATTACATATGTAGCAATGAAAAATGTTGCAAAAAAAAAAAAAAATGTTGCCAAGCTAATTGAGTACTAATAAACGAAAAGAAACAGTATAGTCATAATATAAAAAAAATAGAAAAAAGAAAATATATGAAGGTGCAAAAGGATGACTCCGTTGCACAGTTGCCAAGGTATTGGCTTCCACGCCAAGGGTTGTGGGTTCGATTCCCACACGAGAGAACCATTCATGAGACCCATAGATAATAGTTTCGGATCTGAGTGAAATTAAAGTAAAAGTAACAGCCTATACATGTCCCACTGCTGGGCAAAGGCCATACAGAGGGTATCAGGGCATAGTCGACCACGCGGCCCCACTGCGGATTGGCGGACTTCACATATCGCGGGTGAAATTTATGTATGTAAAAATTCCATACAAAATTAGGATTATTTTATCCTACAGTAAGCGACAAAGTTTTCGAGTGGAAGACTACAATAGATCTTTTAGATCGCAGTTCTTGTGGGACTTACTATACGACCCCCCCCCCCCCCCACAAAATGCAACCAAATGAAGGTAAACTTGGTACTCACTTATAAACGAGACCTCTGGCGAACTCGACAAGCGGCAGCAGGAACAAAGAAATCGAAGCGTCTAATATGACGAGCCGGTAGGCCTCCTGGCCCATCGACGTCTCCCAGCACTGCGAACAGAAACAATAATGTTCCACACAAGCGGTGAACGGCGTCAAGGTAATGCTGCAGTATGAGTGGAGTAATTGTGATTTAACTGTACTGGCTAATTGTGTAACCGTACCGCAATTTAGAGCCGTGATAGCTCAGTGTCCGGGCGCTCGCCTTTAATTCAATATACTCGAGCAACCTGAGTTCGATCCCCGGGGCCGGCACCAATGAAGTTTTTAACTTTAAGTGCTGACTTATCACGTGCTCCGCGGTGAAGGAAAACATCGTGAGGAAACCTGCATATTTTCGAAATAATAACAAAAAATATACAATTTTCGAAGATATGTGAAGTCCGCCAATCCGCAGTGGGGCCGCGTGGTGGACTATGCCCTGATACCCCCTGTATAGAGGAGGCCTTTGCCCAGCAGTGGGACATGTATAGGCTGTTACTTTACCTTTACTTTACTTTTACCGCAATTTATACTGATGCACGAATAGACTGGCTAGTCGAGGTTCAGGCTAGGCGCCCCGTGCGCCAGGAGACCTCAAGACCGTCGGATCTGTGAAGGCCCCTAAGGCCAACAGTGGCTCATCCAGCCCAAAAAAAAAGAACTTGCTAGTCTGGGGAAGTATCACGAGCACAAAGGAGACCGGCTTGGAGTATTACGCTTTCGCGTTTTGTCTGTTGGGTCACATCAGGTTAACAATCTATCCGGAATATCTGCTGCCCCGCGGAGGGCTTAAGAGGGGTGCGTGTTCATTGCACGGGCACGGCACCATTTGGCTGGTGCGGGTGTTATCTACGGGTCTCTCGAACCTGTGACGTGCAGTAATCGAACCCAACAGATGGCGCCGACAGCTTTAGCTTGGCAAACCTTCAAAATCGAAAAGCAAACGAAAGTAGAGAGACTGTACTACATAGTCAGCACAAACGCTCGCCGATCAAGACGAACTCAGACACAACAATCGACCTAAAACTCGCCATCATTTACTAGTAGACCTCCGCTACTACAGTGATGAATTAACGGTTTGACCCGAGGTCTACTATTAAATGATGATGAGGTCGTCTATCGAAGCCCCCGCGGGAATCTGGGTCATCGTAGCTGGGGCCACTCACGTCCTCTCCAGATCTGGCCCAGTACAGCAGGATCAGGGTGAGGGTGCCCACGTCCAGGAGGCCGGTGCGGGCCAGCGTCACGTAGAACGCGGTGCGCGGCTTGTAGTACTCCAGCCTGGGGAATCCATTGCCCAGACTTGAGACTTCGATAATACACGAAAATGTCGAGCAGGCGGTTCATCCGGATATTAGCGAAAAGAGTTTTTATTGAGAAGGTGGCAAGCTAGCTGGTTCACCTGATGTTAAGTGATGTCCGCCGCCCTTCGACTTTTGCAAGACCCGTACGATTGCAGATGCGTTGCCACCATTAAATGAAGTTATCCCCGGTTGCCCCACTCACCAGAAGAAACGCAGAAGTGCGTGTCTTCTGCTAAGTCGTGCTACTTCCCCGGACGTACCTGCCCATCCGTGCAACAGTGAAAACTGACGCGTGACCCTACCACAGCCGTGTGCGTTAGGTCCGTTGCCAACCTTCAAAAAGCACCCGCGGTTGCACTGAGCAGACGAAACGCGAAAGTATACACTTCCCCCTACACATCGGTCTATTATGAGGTAGTTACTTCCCTGCACGAGCTGCCCATTCGTGCAACAGCAGAAGCTGAGTGACCCCACTAAAGTAAACGTCGTCAGATTTAAAAATTGTACACGAAACTGTATTTTTTTTCGTGGTATTTGAGTAAGTGCGGTTGCTGTAAAGGAACACGCTACTCGCTACAAATGCAATAAAAACGACGTAGATGAGACGAAGTGGATTTCGACCGATCAGACTTGGCGGCTGCTAGTAGACGATCGTCTGGACGAGTAATCCGGAAGGTCAAAGGTATGCAGGTTTAAGTTAGCTTGTCAGTGTTGGTTTACCGAAAGGCTGTATTTGTATTTCGTGTGGAAGGGCTAGGGAATTAAGTTCAAACGACTTCCCATCAAAACCCCTTTACTACATTGTAAGGACGTTTTACATACATAAATTTCACATGCTCAAACACCCAGATTCGAAACAATTATTATCTGTGGGTCGCACAATAGTTGTTTCGTTTGGGAATCGAACCCACGACGTTCAACGCCGAAGCAAATACCTTGGCAACCGCGCCACCAATATACACCCAAGCGTTTGTGTTCAAGCTGAAGAACTAGTCGCCCACCTACAACTCACCTGACGACGAGATTGAAGATGAGAGGGCACACAGCCACTATGAGGGTGACCGTCAGAGACACGTAGACCTCCCAGTACTGCATCTCCGTCTTAAGGCCCAACAGCAGCCACAGCCCGTACTCCAGCCCCAATATGAAACCTAGCACCAGAGCCGTAACGGCCACATTCGCCGAGCACTGCCACAGCTTCGTCAGAAACGATTTGGTCACCCGCTTCTTGTTCTGCTCGCCCAACAGCTCCTGCGTCGGTCGAATCGCAATCACTTCGGCGTTATATGGATTTCTTGATTTTAGAACATTATACGTATTAAATGAAGCTAGTCTACGGATTTTAGAAACGGTTCGAAACGTCGGGAATTAAAAATCAAAATAAATACGCGACACAAATCAACTGATCCGTCAACTAGTTTAATTTAACCTACACTTCAGCATTGCTTAAAAAGCGAAAAAAAAAATAACAATTTGGATAAATTACGTTTAAATTTTCTTCGGTGTGGCAATAAGCTTCGTGATTAAAGCATCTGGGCTCGAATCCAAAAGACGTGGTTTCGATTCGAACAGCGGCGAAAAACTTTTCGTTCATGTTTCTACAAATCTTAACAATCACTACTATTGATGAATTGTATCACTATGTTCACAAGCTCGACGCAAATCAAGACAACGTGTTACTCCTCTCACTGCCAACGTCAAACTAATCGAAAATGAGAACCGAACCGACTTTTAAGTTGTTGTAATTATCGCCACCATAAACCAATATAAATACTATAAATCAATGTTGCCACAATTAAATATCAATAACAAACTATATTTAATAATTTTCATTTTTAAATGCGAAAGCAAAAATTAATTTCAACTAATATTGAACCGCTTAGATAGCTCAGTGTCCAGGCGCTCGCTTTCAATTCAATATACTCGAGCAACCTGAGTTCAGGAAAACATCGTGAGGAAACCTGCATATTTTCGAGATAATAATAAAAAAAAATACAAGGCCGCGTGGTGGTCTATGCCCTGATACCCTCTGTACAGGGGAGGCCTTTGCCCAGCAGTGGTACATTTATAGGCTGATACTTTACTTTATTGAACCGCTGATACGTGATTCAGCACCCGATCATATTGAATTAAAAGCGGACACTGAGCTATCACGATTCTTGTTAGCCCAGATTGGTATCATTTTCATGCGAACCTTGAACTCGTTGTAGATGCTGGAAGCGTTTAGTGCGGCCGCAGTCTGCGACACTATGCCGAAGTCCCAGCCGCAGAATACCTGAAACGAAAATGATAACCACTAGATGGGATTCTCCGGCAGAATACTATAAATGTCAAAGTCAACATTTCTCTATGTAAGACTATATTGAGTCTTATTTCAAACTCTTATTGAACGTCAAAAAACAACCACCGGTTTACTAAACTACACCTGTACAGAGAAGAACCGGCAAGATATTTTTTGTAATTTTCTATTACATGTTGAGGATGGTTAAGTCATTTAGTGGGCCAGTTAAGTTAAATTACATTCGTGATTTTTGCACAGAGCAGTGAACGTCTGGTGTGTATCGAAATTCCTGTTCGGTTATCACACGCTGTGGTATGGCCACGCCACACCACGGGTCTTCGATGTTGCACGAATGAGCAGGTCCGTGCGGGTAAGTACCACGACCTCACCCTTAAGGATCCAATAACGCCTCGCAGAAAACCAGATGGGTAAGAGGAATACCAACTTGTAAGCTATTGAAAATTGGCATGGCAACACCTGGTGGTTATCACACCACCAGGTGAGCAGTAAGGTCGCTTGCCACCATCGGCTACAATAAAAAAAAATATTTGCCTTCGTCGCGTACACGTTGCTAAGGCCGCCGGAGATCTCGATGAAGTTACGCCGATAGGAGTAGGCCGTCCTGTGGAATTAAACAATGGACAACGACATGATTTTTTCGTCCGCTCATCTCAGTGGATGTGTAGTTGTCAGCTCAAAACAGCATGAACTCACGGGGAGAACTAGCATTAAAACGCAACTACTAAAATGAACCGGTGCGGATGCTTGTAGGTATACATCACACACATATCCATCCATATATCGATGGTAATTAACACACACACCAACTCTACTGTGATAGGGCCCAATCCCGATGCAAGTCTTCGCTTTTTTCACGAATGTCCAGTTCTGCCCGGATGCGTACCACGATCTCACTGCAGACCGGCGTAAAGTGACAGTGTTATACTTCTGCGTTTCGTCTGGTGAGTGAGGTAGCCGGGGCCCACTTTATTATAAGGTGGCAACGCATCTGCAAACCTTAAGGTGTTGCAAATGTCAATGGGCGCCAGGTATCATTAAGATTAACCACCAGCTCTTTTGTCACCTTCTCACATAAACAACACCAATATTCAACATTTGTTTTTTTATTCAGCCCTAAGTATCATCGCCTGCTAAACCCATGTCTTCTGAGAACCTGATCCATCTCATCCAAAACTCCAAAAAGACATCCATCCACCATAAGTCCAACAAACAACTAACAGTCAACCCCCACGTGTTATAAGAAAACAATACATCGGTAGTACATCAGACAAGTGAACTTAAGCGTAAGAGAGCACTCGTGACCTACTTACCTGTAGCAGAGAACGGCGAAGAACAAGAAGTAGAGGCAGAGCATGGTGAAGAAGTAAGCGAACGGCATGTTATAGGTGAGGCCTGATGCGGCGATATCGCCCGAGTGGTAGTAGCCGTAGAACAGCAGACTGTTCTCCAAACCACCCTGGATTGGAGAATAGTCAAGAGCCCCTTATCATTTGGTACCAGACATTTGAAATTGTGCTAATTGAAGAATACGAAGAAATATTAACTAGATGCTCAGCTAGATCAAAGACTCTCATTAGACACTAGTTAGTACCCGGCGTGCGTTGTTTACTATTTCTTTTCCGAAATGTAAGCAGAACAGCTCGTCAAATTTACACCACGGTCAGACGAATGGTCCAAGAGGACAAACATACGGACACTTCTATATAAATAAAGGCAACTTAGCCAGTGCGCTCCTTGTATGTAACTATATTTTACCACAGACAAAGTTTTCGACAAGGAAGCTGCCACTGAGGTAGCGCGTGCGTGTCCAAGCAAAAAAGTGATCAAAATTTTATAATTATATACAAATATGTGCCTATTCCTACATCTGTGCGGGACGTGTGTCGTTTATCCTGCAGAGCTTTACCTTCCCGCTGACAAAGTCCAAGACGCTGAGGCTGGTGGTTTCGTTGGGATTCCGGGTGCGGCCGTCGTGGACTATCTGCGGCGCCACCACCAGACAGAGCAGTAAGGTGCAGAGCACCAGGTCCAGGGCGAACAGCCAGCGCAGGAACTGGAAGTAGGAGCCCACGGCGGACCCGAAGTGGCCCTCGACGTGCCTTATGGCCTCGTACCACAGCTCCAGGGAGAATACCAGCTCGCTGATGCGGTCGCGTCCCTGAAGACATATCGGTCCCGACTAACTCCCCAACTAGAGCTGGTGTAGATAAACGGATGTTTTCAAATCGTCACCATTATCGTTTCAGCCTGTTTTACAGCTGGACATAGGCTACAGTCCACCGCTGGACATATGCCTCCCCCACAGTTTGCTCTTAGGTACGATCCTGCGCCACATGTATCCATCGAATTCCCGCACATTTGCACAGATCATCACTCGGTCTAGTGGGTGTTGTCCAAATCATTTAAAAAAGATAAAAACCAAAAAATAATATGGACATAAATTGCATTCTAATTTATTCCAAAGGCTGTCATCCTTTATCCTTCTGATCATGATATAAAATGCAAAAAGGTGAATATGAATACAAATTAATCACTAGTATAAAGTTAAAACTGAAAACCATTCCCATTGTGTCTCCAAAACAGTAAATTGAAGGCGGAATCCACTTCTGAGAAATCAGAGAGCACAGCAAAGAAATCATCACCAACTAGTGTACGTTTCCAAATCATACTCGGAAAGCTGTAGTGATACAACCAAGCACTGACCTTCTTCCAAGCGAAGCTGATCCTATACTTGAGCCGCTTTCGCATTGATATCGGCCTGTGCTTGGAGCGGAGGCTGACGGATGCGGAGAGCTTGGCGCGCACGTTTCTCTTCATCGTCAGACCCTGTGGTAGATCGCGTAGCGCCTCCCTGATTTATATTGACGAGTGAAATAATATTCTGAAGTTTAAACATCGAAATCTATCGAACAGTAATCGTAATATCATCACAACTTATCTAGTATTATCAACACAATGTTTTAGTGTTGTTCGTCCATCATTAGCTTCATTAAGATGACTTCGTGCCGCAGTTGCAAAGGTATTGGCTTCGGTGTCGGGGTTGTGGTTTCGATCCCCACACGGGACAACTATTTGTGACCCACATGATAGCTATTCCGCATCTGGGTGTTGGTCCACGTGAAATTTGTGTTTGTAAAACGTCCTTACAACACAGGATAACGTTATCCTAAAGTAAGGGCAGTGTTTTCTTAATAAAAAAAAGATTGTGACGCACCTCCTGAGCTCCTCGGAGAGAGGATTGTCCTCCATGAGCTTCTGCTGTTGCTCCATCTCTCGGACTATGATCTCCGCTTGCTTGTCTACCTCGTCGCCTGCCGCCTCCAGCAACACGTTGCTCTCAGAAGCGGTGCGCCGCAAACGCAACGTACCTAAGATACCAATGTATTGAAACACTGTAAACGGCCCGCGAGAGCGCTCTTTTTTATGTGAAAAGTTGCCAAGCGAGCAGGCGGTTCACCTGATGTTAAGTGAATACCGCCGCCCATGGACATCTGCTACATCCGAAGGTTTGTAAGTTTTGTACCTTACGAACCTATATACATAATCTTTGATGTAAAATTTGAGGATTCATAAGAGCGCGCAAGCGTCTATTTGAATAAATATATTTTTGATTTGATTTGTAGGTGCTTTGTGAAAATTGGGCTTGAACAAGTCATTTTTTTTACTAACAAATAACAGAACCGACTTCAAATATCTCGCTCTGTATTCATTTTATAATTGATTTTCAGGAGTTGCCTAAGTATCTCCGGAGCCCCAGATCCGATACCAATGAAATTAATATGGGACCACATGGGAAGCACCAGCTTTCTATTAAAAAATGAATCACCAAAATCGGTTCACGTAATCGAAAGTTCTGAGGTAACAAACATAAAAAAAAAATACAGTCGATCAATTCGACCTCCTCCGTTTTTTAAGTCGGTTGAAAACTGTAAAACCACGACGAATTTGTCATTCATACGATCTGAAATTTTTTTTAATGTAAACATTTGGCAAACGACCAGGCGGTTCATGTGAAGACTACCGCCGCCCATGGACATCTTCAACACCTCTTGGGATGCATATGCGTTGCCAGTCTATTTAAAAGTGAGTACACGGCGGTAATGATCGTTTTATTTTCCCATCTATATGTATATGATTTACACCGATAATTGACTCATCACGATATCTCTGGAACCATAAGCCGTAGAGACTTGAAATTTGGTAGGAATATTCCTTTCGCCGAGTGGAGGTCAGCTAAGAACGGAATTTACGAAATTCCACCCAATTATTTATTGGCACTAGATGTTATATGGCAAAACAACGTTTGCCGGATCAGCTAGTAGATCAATATAAGAACCACGTTTTACGTTCACACGACATGAAAACACATTTGCCAAACAGTGCCGCAAAACAATTAAAAGTGAAACTGCTCCGATATTTATTACACGCAAACTCACCGGAGGATACACTCGCAGTCGTAACGGTCTCATCACAAGACGCGGGATTCATTTTTTTCTCGAGGGCACACAAACGTTAATTAGTAGAAAAAATACTGCACTGACGACCTCCGAAGGTGCCAAGATTATTTTGGAAAAATAATTTAGGGCGTGAAGCTACGGTACCGCCGAATAGTCATGCACGTTAGCAGTTTTTCTCTGTTAAGCAACTAACTTAATTAGAGCTCGTTAACAGTGTAGCCCGACATTGCACAGACTAATGTAGGGACAGACGCGTCGAAATTAAATTACATCTAAAAATCTAGTACAACATAGAAGTTGGTAAGTAAATATACCAATTATAATTGTAAGTCAATAAAGTATTCAGTAGTCAGAAAAATATTTAACCAGAAGTCTTACAATTGTTTTTCACGGAGTTTATTTTTGGCGGAGTTTATTGTTGGTCACTGAGTTTATTTTGAACAGTTTTTAAGTTAAGGTTTTCAGCACAACAATTTTATTCTCTGTCCTAAAGTTTTGTTCTTTGGAAATAATACCCACATCAGAATCCTATTTTTATATTCTAATTTTGACTAGTTGTAGTACTCTTTTTAAATTTTTTATATATTAATTATTTTTAAGACATTCTATATTAATAGCATGGTATTTAACAGAATTTAATAAGATAACATGAATTTTGTTACTCTTTTTGTTACGCCTACAGAAAAATTTTCAGTTTTTTAAACAATTTACCTATTTCAAATAGGGCTGTCCATTTACAACTTATCATCAGATAGAATAGTAATCAAGCACTGGGCTACTTTTGAATAAATAAATATAAAAATCCATATTGAATTAAAGTTGTGTGGTTTTTTTACTTTCGGTCTTTAATTCTATGTTCAGATAAAAGTTCTGGGGAAAAGGATATTGATACCAGCATTATACCTAATTAAATTTTCTGAAACCCAGTAGGCTATTAAGATTTACACAGATGTACAATTACATTTCTTAAAATTAATTAAATAACTCTTTAATAAAATTTACATAAAACAATTTTATTCAAATGTACTACCTCTTTTACTAATCTACTAATCTTTTAATTTACAACTTTACTTTACTAATCTTTTAATTAATTATTGTGATTGTTGTAAAAAGTTAATTGACAGCTTATGGGTAACTAATTTGAAATTACCATTATTTTCTATTTTTTGAAAAATGAAATCAACATCAAGTAGACTTGAACGTTTTTTTAATGTTAATCCTATAATGTATATGGATATGTTATGTAAAATATACTATTCAATAATAATATATTTAGTTTGCTATAAATATTCCAAGGTTTTTGTCGAGTCAAAAGACAAATTAAAATAGTGGTGTAGTCCTAAGCAATTACAACACCACTACCACACATTAATTTTTCCTAACCCACATTAATCATGTAACAGAATACCTACCATAGGGAATTTGCCTTGATGGCATGAAATTGACAGCCACTTGGCGCGCCACATTATTTCTTAGGGTGAATGTACGCCTCATGTTCACTGCTTTAAGCTCCATCTCTTCTATTTGGTCTTCCATTCTAAATTAATAAACTTGAATCAGTATCCTTATTCAAACTTAATAAAGGTTAGTTCAACTCATTAATAATTCTATTTACCTTGAAAAGATAATCAAAATATTTAATTGGAAATAAATATATAACAGTAAACGTTCATTAATTTACATGACCACTAAAAATATTCACTTTTTGTTCAATAACAGCACAATTCAAAAGATATGGATTCTAAAGTAACTATGCACAATACCAATATATTACTAGATTGTAGATTGTAGATATGATACATGATAAGATAAAACAATATCTATATCTATCTATAAATACTTCCTATTAGTTACATATTAATAAGAAAGAGATTTGTATATTTATTATTTTGATAAATTTGGCACTAAGGACCGTCATATGTCATCTAGTTTGTCAGTGTCACTGTCATGATTTTCTAAATCTTTATTGATCTAATATTTACAAGATTAAATCTGTCTAAAATTACATATTATCTAATAAACCTAATCCACGATTACAAAAAACATATAGTCCATGTTTATCCAATATAATATTAAAAAAGTTGAATGTGTTCTGTGGCTTTGACATCTTGAGCAATATTTTATACTGGAAGCGGCAGAACCGAATCAAATTAAGACTTTTTCTATACCTTGACTCAGTTCTCATCCATATCAATAAGAATTTGTGGTTTATGGGAATTACGTTTTCTTTACTTGATTTTTGCACGCAACACTAACGACTGGACACGGATGCCAACTTAGGAATATTTTTCCTAAATTTAGGAACAAAATGTTTACAACGGAATTTTTTAGGCAATAAATTCATAGCAAAACTTCAAATGTAAATAATTTAAGAAGATTAGGTTTGAATTTAGTGAATTTTACTGGGTTTTTGAATTGCTACAGGAGTTTTTTTTTTAACAGGTGGTAACACTGCGACTGGATTATTCATTTAATTCAATCAAATTGTCAATGTCAACTCTGATCTGAGGCTGATATCTGTTTCTGTTGCCGACTTTTTGTCTTCTTTTTACGGTTAAAGTTCAGGAAATATTATTACACTTACTATAATTACCTTATCCATTAAAATTATAAAACAATAATTAGCTCCAAACTGTAAAAAAATTGCTGTTCACAAACTAGAAGCAGGTATACAGGTACGTTTTTTTAAAATGATCGACGTCATTGTAATCTCCAATTCTCTACCACCAGCTCCATTAGAAAGGTGTGTGAACTATTTATGAATTTGTCTAATTATCCAATTTATTTCGAAATTATCAAAATTAGCCACGAATAGCACTTATAAAAACAAGACAGACATAGTAAACGTAACAGAAGAACAGAATTATATAGTTATGAAGGGATCATATATTCATGGACATGTTTATTGTTTACGCTTTTCCAATACTTTAGGCACGATTGCCTATTTTATTTAAATTTGCACATTCTTTTTCCAAAAAGTTTATTTCACTATGTAATTTTAGCGTTTACTGATTAATGATTATATTTCCTTTTAAGGTCAATGTTACGTTTTTTGGCTCTAAGAAATGGCCTCACCACAGAGAGTGACAGTTGATCAAGTGAGACTGATCCTGAGTGAAATAATTGAATCACTGGAATCGCCTGACTATGCCCCAAAGCTGGACGAGGCCAAAGAGGCAGCTGGCAATGAGATGCTAAAGATGATGCAAATTGTGTTCCCAATGGTTGTACAAATTGAGATGGAGACTATTAAACGACATGGATTTATTAATTCAAGAGAAGGTATGAAATGTTATTATAACCTTATTTAATAATTTGTTTGCTTCATGCATTTCCTTCCAAACTGCTTCTCTAATGATTATTAAAACTTCAGATCACAATGGAGCTAGATACTTCCTATGGATTCAGTTGACTGATATTATAAATGCATAATTATAATCTATTATATTACTGCTTAGTCACTAAGAATGTTGAAGTTTGTTGTCATGTTATGAAATATGTGTATGTGTATTTTTATGTATAATGTATTTATATTTTATTTTTGCAAAAAGTTTTTAAATAAATATGATTCTTCACTATAGAAATTTACTAGGTGTAAATGGCTTTTAAATAATACTGATATCTTGCAATAGTTTGTGGGCTTTGTTACTGCATAGCAGAATTACAGATTTAAAGTTATACACCATAAAATAAAGCATGCAATGTAACCACTCAAGTGTCCATGGATACTACAGTATCCAAAAAAATATGGTGTCTTATGTCTGTGGATACCATTCTATCCAAGTGCATGCTTTTGAATTAATTTGAAATAATGCCATCCAGCGATGCCATTTAAACTAAATCCTTATACAAAGTAACTGTGTATATATATGAAAAATATAATAGATGTCGTGTTGGATCGTTCCTACAAGAAAAGAAAAATATTTTCTTATGCTATTCGACAAGCGAGTGTTTGTGAAGTGTTTAGCGACGATCTTTGGATATTATGTCGTAATTTCAATGTATTTCCACGGTTTTTATATATTAAAATACTCTTAAGATTGTTGCTCTTCGTTTACAGTAATATATAAATGCTTAGACCAAAAAATATTCTAAAATCAAGTTTAAAGTTGCTACTTAGTAATAACGCATACAAGGTTTTTTGTATTGATAGATTTTAGTGTAGTTTAAATATCATTTTTCTATTGTGCTTACTAAATAGTTAAATACTAGTTCATAATGATGACTTTTAATAATGTATTTTATGAAATTAAATGAAGATGTATATAAAAAATCAACATAATTCTCAGGCATGGATGGTCTAGTATCCATGAATGTTTCTCAAAATATCGCAAATAAGGGTCTGCGCAAACGTAAGATATGACGTGTAACTATAATATGTTGATTTGATGGTGTGGCTTTTTTATTATTTTTTATATGTTTAGCGAATTATAGTGAAAGAATAATTTTTAATAAATATATTTCAAGTTAAGATTTATTTTCGCTTATGTGAGATTTCGGTTAAGGGTTTTCATTGGTATAATCAGCACCACATAGCTGTTATAAAACATAACTGTTGAATATAACTTTTTTGTCATACATTTCATTGCTGTGACTGCAATGTTTTTAATCGATGCATGTTTTCAGTATATTACGGCTATTCAACCATTAATGAAAACTGTATATTAATGTCTGCTGTTTTAGTATACTATAAGTTTTGCTCATTATGTATAGTTACTATACAATAAAATAAGTTGAAAATATTTTACTAAAAATAGTCGAAAAATTATAATTAACTAGCTTTTCGCCCGCGGCTTCGCTCGCGTTGAAGCCCTTAAAAAAATATCTTTCTTTAAAAAAAAATCCAAAAAAAAAAACCTATGTCCTTTTCTAAGGCTTTAAACTATCTGTGTACGGTTCAGTAGTTTTGCGTGAAAGCGAGACAAACACACAGAGTTACTTTTACATTAATAATATTAGTATGGATTATCAGTTCCGATTGGGATTCATAAAGTTGTAGGCAGCCTTATCCAGCGGCCATCTTGCTTAGAATTTCTTTATATCGAGCAATTCAGAATATCGAGCGCGATTGCAAGGTAACGTAGCAACAGATAGAACAACAGACGCGGAATAGGTGAAATGATTAGATTAATTTTGATCAGTAATTGTGTGAATGAATTAAAAAGATCTTGGCATCGTTATAAAGGTTGTAGAACCTAGTTTTTATTAAAATAATCACCTCTAAAAGGAGCTTCATTATTTAAGAGAGGTCGAGATTTATTTAAACAAATGCGAGATTTTTTCAACAATCGCATGTTTTGTTCTATTTTTTAATACATAGGATCATATTTATGGATTAATTTGGATAAAGTTTTTATCTCTGTTCTTTCAAGATTATATACTTACATATTTTAATATTTACCGTACCTACTTTCATTATGCCACAATTAAGGTTTTTAATTATTAACGTATTAATAACTCGGCGCGCATATCGCTATCGCGCAGACCCGAACGTAAGACGGTGTAAAGCGGTGTAAAGCGGTGTAGGGACCGGACGTCAAAGTGGGCAAAACATGACATAATTGGCACAAAGTACCATGGCTTTTGGGGAGTGTGAGCTGGAAGAAATCATATAAAGAAGAAAAATTGCTCCCTCAATTCGACTCATCAACTCATTTTCTCTGTCATTTCTTAATACTGTGTCAGCTGAACAAACATTGTTAAGGAGCAGTAAAATACTTTCGATTAATTGATTATTGTTTTCTCTTCAATTAACTTACTTTTAAAAACTATTAATTTATCACGTGCCTGTTGTTTTATACATTACATAACGTGATAAGAACATAATTTCCAACATACAATAAATAATAACCTGTGCCTCGTAGTCATAAGCACAATTAGAAGTTAACTAGAATCTAATCCTATTTATCTTATGAATGTATAATGAAGTTTTCCCATTAATAAAGATGGATTCTCTTTCAGGTATAGTTCAGTTCACTCAGCTAGTGCGCGATATGGAGCGCGCTGACAACGAAGTTGCCCGCTTACACGCTCAAATCCGAGCCCATTATCTGCCACCAGTGTCAATCAGTTCCACGGTGGACACTTCGCTGTAAATTGGTGAGGTGCACATTGCATAACAAACCCCTAAACATAAGATTGAATAACAACTTCACTTTTTTTTTTTTTAAACTGCCCTTTAGGATAACGTTATCCTGTCATCGAACCCACGACCCCCGACGACGAAGCCAATAGCCGACGAACCTTGGCTACTGCACCACGGAGTGGTCAACCTTCTTAATGTTTTCCTTTTTTATTTAAGAGCAACTGAAAAATAAAAAATTTCGACAATTTATACATAAATATTCAACTCGAATTTTAAATAATAACAAAGTTTTAATAACATTTTTGTTACGTTAGCTTGCTTGCTGAAGAATTGACAACTTTTAAAAAAGCGGGCCGCTGTTACCTCATTAACCAGACTAAATGCAAACTTTAATACTTCAACGTCATTTTAATTTTCTGGTCAGAATTTGTGATGAAATGATTATATTTTTGTGAATAGTGAAATAAAACAAAAGGGAACAACATAGGCGTCATGTAACAAAAGTCGAGTTATTTTTTAAAATGTTAAATATTTAATGAAATATTTATTATAACTAACTATAATAACTTTTTGGGACAAAAAACGGATTTAAAAGTCATAGAGATTCGCGATTTTCATGAGAGACGCATCTCAAAGGCATTTTTGACATTACCCTTTTTTACATATTTTATGCGTAAAATTATTGTCTTCTGTACGCATATGTTCTAGGAATGAGCTATACTAGGTAAAATTGAGTACCTGTTACGCGTGTTCCATCGAGTTACGGTGGTGAAATTCACCAGGAAGTATCATCCCTGCAAGTATCATTCCTCAGAGCACTCCCCATGATATATCCGATAGAAAATGCAAAGGGATGCAACATCACTTCGCCAAATAGAAGGAGCTGATATTTCGGTGCCACAGCCCAGAGTTGAGAACAGTATTCCATGTGCCCTCGAATCTGTGCTTTATAAAGCTGCAAACGATGTATCGGCAGGACCTAAAGAATTCCGATCGAATCGGTGGCAACAAGGGGACTATCTTCAAAAGATGAGATACGACGAAGGGTTTCCTCTTAAAAATAAAATTCTTCGTTTCTTCTACTTTCTTTTCTTCTTTTGTATAACTGTTTTTGGAAAAATAAAAAAATAAAAAAAATCATAATAAGCTTGCGTCGAAACATTCGAGAACGATTGCCGGCCTGTGAAAATGGTTTCTACCCACATCACGACACCGTTTATTAAATTATTGGTTTGAACTCTGATCATATGTCACAACGGTGAATGAAATACATTCAAATAACTGCAAATGTAAATGTTATGCAATAAAACTAAATAGGTAGTTTTACCCTTAAAGTCTGCTGTCATTGCATTTGGAACGGCGTGCAGTCATTACTCCTTTGATATCAGTAATTATAAAAATAAGTGAGAAGTTTAATTGGTTAACGTAAAAAAGTAAGGGACGGTAGCCCGGGTTTTAACTGTGACATAGGACACATCAAGTTTTTTCCACGGCGAAAACGCTCTTGTTTTCACGGGAATTAGAACTTAAATCAAGTTTTAAATGTTGTGACGAATATGTTTCAAATGGTAAATAAATTTTAGTAAAGTTAACCAATTTAAATATTTACTTGTTCACGAAATAAATACTATGTTTTAATATTCTTTTGTTTTTACTCCAATTTAAGTTTATTATCGATGTATTTCATACCATGGATGACCACAGCTACCTTTGACGATTTTGACGACATTTAGAAGACAAGATGACATTTCGAAGACATTGTTCAGCTGCTTTTGACTTTTACACGATATGGTTTATTGCCTTTTGGAAAACTATTTTTTCATCGGATTTTTGTTGATGACTACGTACTTAGGAGTTAAGAAAAACTTTGTATCGACTCGTAATTCGCCTGCTAACGAGAATACAAGTTATGACGTTGCTTTAAATCGAAATTATAATCTCTATTCGTATTATAACGTTATCAATACTTAGAAAGGTACAGTGTACTACGTTACGTCTCTAATCAGATAAGAGCTAATAAATTTATTTATATACGATATTCTGAGTAGTTTCCTTGCTCAGTTGTTATCGTATATAATGTGTACTGTAACTGTGTTTGATCTATTACTCTAAATTTTCATTTAAGTAAATGTCAATTGGTTAAATTCAGTGTAACGCTTAACTGTGGGTAGGTACACGCTACTGTAACATGTGTTTAAACTATGGAAAAAGAAATGTGATATCCTTCTCTTCAGACGTCAGACCAGGGTTTTTATGGAGTAGAGTTGAGAGCAAAATTATCAACTGAACGGTAACAACTGAAAAGTTAGAAACACGGTGCCTATTGGTGTTGCCATAGGGATTTGAAATACTTTTCGGGTCCCTTTTAAAATAAGTGCGTCAATGTTGCCAATTACCTAAAAAAAAATTTTACTTGACAATAAGCAGTTAATTAAGACCCTAAGCATAGTGTATATTATACGTATTTGTAAGAATATATTTTCGGAAACAAACTGACAATCCGTATGAAAAATGCTGGCTAACATTAGTACAGTAGGTTGAAACTTACAAACGTTACAGGTAGCGTTGTGTTTAACTTAACCCAGATAATTCGAGTATGGCCCAGTGCACGCTAGGCAAATATTTTTGTACGCGATAAGGTCTAATCTGTTAACTGCGGTAATATTCGTCCGTAAACCCTGATAGTTCTCACTATAATTTAACTGACGATTAACAGAAACACCCGGTTACAATTCTAGTATACTGACGGTAATCAAATTTGTGTACGACAGAGAGGTCGCATCAGTTCGTCCCAAGACCAAGAGTTGCAAAAATACGCGAATTAGTTTGTACGATTCTACTCGTATGTCTATTTTATTTTGTCGTATTGGTCAAAATGTGACTAATAGAATACAGATGTTTAATAACATTTTTAGGTTTGATAAACAGATAATTCCTTCTTAAAACTTTGATGGATATGATTATGTGGTAATTTTAAAGACGACGCGAGTAAATGTGTTTTGAATGGTATTGTGCAATAGTATTCATTCATTTACGTTTTTTGTTGTTTACCGTTACGTTACACATTTTCCGGGTCGCGTTTAATTTTGGCTTTTATTACGTTCCAAAGACAGCATTGATGGACTGTCCACCGTAGTCTGTCGAGTTCAGGTTTAATATATTACTGTCAAAATTAACGAATGTTAAAGCCGGCACTTTTCTTGTAGCCATAAGTTTCGCATCGTTTGCTTTCGGTGACGTATATCATTGGTGTGCATCTAAGAGTTGTTTTTTTTTTTTACATAGAAATCAAATGTCCCATGCCGCTAAATATTTATACGAACTAGTGAACGAACTTGAAAAAGTTGTGGCATTAATTGTCTCTGTCTATTCTATTGCGGTCAAGACTCAAATATGTCGAGTTATATGGTCATTATGAGACCGTAAATATCTAACGCCCTTTACAGGTGTAAACTGGCGAGCGTTCAAAGAATCTCACTCCACCGTTCAGCCATGAGGCGGAGGCAATGCTACAAGCTCGCCGTGTGCGCCTGCGTCCTCGTCTACATATACTACTTCTTCGGCGTCGGCGACTACCTCCTCTCCAGGAGCTACGAGGGCGACTTCCACTACCCGCTGGATGTGGACCTGGAGCCGCTGGTGGCGGAGGTGCTCGAGGGCAGGAAGCCCAGCGTGGCCCCCATCAACTACTACCCGCACCGCTTCCTCACCAACTCGGGCCTATGCTCGACCCTGCCGAAGATCGACCTGTTCATCGCGGTGAAGTCGGCGATGGGCCACTTCGCGAGCCGCGCCGCCATCAGGAGCACCTACGGCCGAGAAGACCACGTCCCCGGCAAGGTGGTCAGGACGCTGTTCTTCGTCGGCGTGGGCGGTTCCGGGACCTTGCAGCGCCGCCTGGAGGGCGAGATGGCGCTCCACAAGGACATAATCCAGGCGGACTTCGTGGACGACTACTACAACAACACGATAAAGACTATGATGACCTTCAGGTGGCTGTACGAGCACTGCCCCAACGCAGAGCACTGCCTGTTCACGGACGACGACATGTACATATCGGCCGCCAACCTGTTCCAGTACCTCGGCAGCATGAAGGTGCCCGAAAATGGTACAGGTACGTTATATTTATGCTAATGCACGGATACACGCACACACAGTCACACATTCACTTACGCACACCGGAGCGCGTTCGTGAATCACTAGATTTTTTATTTTTTAATTTGAAGTTGGCAAGCGAACTGGCGATTCACGTTATGTTATCTGATAACCGTCGCCCATGGAACGTTCGACCTCCCCAGGAGCTTTGGACGTTCAACGCTACAGCGCTTTCATACCCCCTCCATGGGAGCGTAAAAAGTTTAACGCAACCTTGTTGGAAGTCGCATTAGAAGTTTCACTTCAAAAAAATAACTAACCGCCGATTGCACATTTCAGAGCGCGAGCGCCGCCTGCTTGCTGGCTTCGTGTTCGAGTCGGCGCCGCAGCGCTTCCGCTCGAGCAAGTGGCGCGTCTCCGCTGCGCGAGTACCCGTGGGACCGCTGGCCGCCGTACGCCACCGCGGGGGCGTACGTGGCCTCGTCGGCCGCTCTGCGCGCCCTCTACGCGGCCAGCCTCTTCGTGCGCCACTTCCGCTTCGACGACGTGTACCTGGGCATAGTGGCGCGCAAGCTCGGCCTGCGCCCCGCCCACTGCCCCCGCTTCCACTTCTACAAGAAGCCCTACTCGAGGGCGGCGTACGGCGACGTGATCGCCTCGCACGGCTACGGCGACCCCGACGAGCTGCTCGCCGTGTGGAACGAGCAGAACCCGCCGGCGTGAGGACGGGCTCGTCCGCTCTGTCCCGGATTCGGTACGACCACATACTTAGGTCCACACAAACGGTTCGCCGTGTGGATGGGGCAGAACCCTCGAGCGTGAGCGACGTGAGGATGAGTTCGTCCGCACCGTTCCAAGTTCAAGAAAAGGTCTGAAAAGGATGCTCGGATCTCACGGCCACGTACGTGGATCCTGACGAGCTGATCTCCGTGTGGAAATGGACCAGGACTCCCCAGTCACAATTACACAATTCTTCACTTTTACTTGAATGAAAAGCCGCAACTGTTCCACTCTTTATAGTGATTTGTACATGTGACTTATAGAAGAATTTTAGATAAGATGAACTATTTTAATCATTTGCATAAGAAAATGCAGAATGGTGTGTTTTTACTATATATTATTTCGCTATATTGCTATCTGTGTTTGCTACGATTTCTTTAATGTTTTGTTTTTGTATTAGCTTTTCTTGTATAATGATTTTAATCACGTCGAGCCACCGAGCTGTTGCCTTGCATGACACTTTCTATTAATGTTTAAAGTTTAAAACGAGTTTTGCTATGCTCAATTATTAAATTTCTTTGTTAGTATGTAGCAGCGTATATTATAAAAATTAAAGATACTGATTGTGGATTGGACTAGATCATGGTAATTTTTAAAAACTATCTTTAGTCTATATAGATAAGATGGAAATTTGATGCATCTATAAAACAATTCTTACATATATACTCACTTTAATGAATGATTAATATATTTATGATTTTTTTTTGTTTTTCTTTTTTTATAACCCTTATTGTAAGATAAGAGAATCCTGTGTTGTCTTTGATACTTGCATGGAGATACCATTAATTTGTTGACGTGGTGTGATGCTGCAGCTAGATGGCGCACCGGCGCATTTTGCTATAGCTGTTGGATAATACTTAGATGCCCAACATTCGCCTTGGATAGGAACGGCAGACATTTAGTAACCTTATTCTTTTAATGTTTAATATCGTTTTTAGTAGGCTAATGATGAAGAATATTGAATCGAATTTGTTTTTAATCTCTGAAACCAAACAATTATTATAACTATATAATTATTATATAATTATTGCAAATTTATTTGACACAACAAAACGCAGAAAAGATGAAATGGCCTTGCCTGGCATGGGAAGGGGGTAGGTTGCATTAGGCGGTCCCTTTAGAGGCTAATAGATGTAGATTCAGTGCCTAAATAATCGCTAATACGATCCCGTACACATTATATAAGCTATCTGTGAGTTTCAGCATAAAGGGCTATTTTATGACATTATTATTCATACTTCTAAAAATATCGATGTTATGCTTAAATGTACGACTATTATTGTAGCGTAGGTAGTTCTAAGTTCCTAGTAATAAACTTTATGGAGATTATTATACTAAGTGTTTTTAAGAATTACATTTCCTTTGTTACTACTGTTTTATTTTACAAATTAAACACTATTTTTCAGCACAAAATTAAAAATTATTTAAAATGTTTAAATCCTTACAAAGTGTTGCTATTACCTTATTACTACTTGTAGCACATCTTTCTAACAAAAACACTATTTACCTATTTTAGGAAGTCAAATGTAATAACACACATGAAATAAAAAAATGAATTTATTATCAGGTAACATTGTAAAATTGCATCACAATAACTTTTGAATATCTTCATAATTTCAGCCTGTTTGAGTTCAATGCTTAACATAAGCCATTTGCACATGTTGCCACTCAATATATTGGGTTTGTTGTACACTACATTATATATTCCTAAGTATAATATTTTTTTATATATATTTCAACAACAATAAATTATCTATTTCTGTTCACATTTAAATGTACTAATAATATAAACTCTTACAAAATATCATTAATTTCAAATTCAAGAAATAATTTCATTGAATGTTGAATATCTTTCTCAGATTAGTGTGTTAGATAAAGTGAATATTGTTGATTAAACGTCTAGACATTTTTCCCACATAAATAACTAAACATATCAAAATCGGCTATAAATACATAACAATGTCACAGTTGTATTGCACACATTTTCGTTAATTTCAAATGGTTTAATGAAAATTTAACAATTGACTACAATCACATACTCATTTTAATTGTGTATAAACCTTATTATAATTAATATCAATATTTATCACCTGTTGAAATGAGCAAAAATGTAATATCATATGCACCCTTAAATAATATACACCTTAAGTATATACTATTAAAAAAATAAAGAGTAAATATCAATTGTCTATGACCTTTAAAAAAATTACATAAACAGAGAGCTTAAAAGTACCCATGTCATTTTATATAATACCTAAATTTTATAATTTCTTTTTATACATCATTGTCAATATTGTGCTTTACAAAAATATAATTGTAACATTGAGACATCTCTTATGTCTTCTATTTAATTTTGTATATGCATATGCTATTATGCTTTCATATGAATAAAATTTTATTCTTAAGTCGATTAATTAATTTAATTAAGTCTTAATTATTGTTGTAATGAGTTATTATATGATGAAAAAAATTGTTCCCATCAACATTATAAATTAATTAAACATTGATAAAATATAAAGCATTGATAAGATATAGAACTGGTTACAAAGATATAAAATAATTAATCACATATAGGTGATCTCTGCTAACTCAGAATAACATATTAATCAATTCTTAGCAAGATGTCTCTTTATCTTTAATATAAAATTATTTCTTTACATATTCTAGAACATAAAAGTAAAGTAACAGCCTATACATGTCCCACTGTTGGGCAAAGGCCTCCTCCATACAGAGGGTATCAGGGCATAGTCCACCACGCGGCCCCACTGCGGATTGGCGGACTTCACATATCTTCGAAAAATATATATTTTTTGTTATTATTTCGAAAATATGCAGGTTTCCTCACGATGTTTTCTTTCACCGCGGAGCACGTGATAAGTTAGCACTTAAAGTTAAAAACTTCATTGGTGCCAGCCCCAGGGATCGAACTCCGGTTGCTTGACTCGAGTATGTTGAATTAAAGGCGAGCGCCCGGACACTGAGCTATCACGGCTCTAGAACATTCTAAGAGTTATTAGAACGGATTCGCCTTGTCCAGCTCTTTAAACACATAGATTATCTTCATTATGGCCAGCCATAAATCCTCGTCGTTTATGTCGCTGTGCAAAGTGAACCTTATTGTCTTTGGGTTAAAGCACACCGCTTTCACTATTACCCCTTCGTCGTTAGTGGTCTTACAATCACCCTGAAACAAATACAAAATCAAATTTTTTAACAATTTCACTGAGTATTTGTGTGATGAATATGTTCGCCTGTGTTTCTGAAACATCTATATTATTTACGGTTGTTACACTTTGAAATGAAAAACTTTCTATAAAATATGTTTTTTTTAATTTACATTTACAACTGACAGAGGTTTATATAAATTGGAAAGTGATGGGGGTGAACTCACCTGGGTCTCAGCCAGGCACACTTGAGCGAGCCGCTGTAGCACCACATCCGCTGTCAGAGCGCTGGACTCCGATATTCTTACCAGCACAATGTTGGTGTGCAAGCCCTCCACGTCCACCAAGAAAGTCTTGAGGAATAATCCTTCAATGGCTGCGAGACAAGTTTCTCATTAAGTAAAATGTATGCGGCTAAGTATTGCACATAGCTAGCTATTAACAAGTTTACAATTTTTGAGAAAAGGAATTGTTTTAGCACATCAAAAACCCTGATAGTTTCAGCATACAATGTACGATAACATAACACGTAACCAAAAATGGTTTTATTTCAGGTAATTAAACAAATTCATTTATTTTTATAACTTAAAATTTCTATCTCTACTGGAGGCAAACTTATTGATTGTACGAGATCTGTCTGTCTCAATCACCGCGCATAACAGTTTTTCTCTCGCTTACTCCCGTAGCACTATTAGACACAAACTAACTCATTGCCAGTGATGTATCTGTCTGTTTCGCTGCGCATAACAGCTTTCCTCTTGCTCACTGCCGTAGCCCTATATCCTTCGATTGCCTTCGATATATCTGTCTGCCTCAATCGCCGCGCATAACTCCCTCCCTCCCTGTCACTCACCCTATGGTCCTTTCAGAGACAGATTCCTGCCTATATTAACACGTTTAAGGTTTGTCAACGCCTCTGCAAGACACGGATGTTGTAGATGTCCATGGTTAGTGGCATTCACTAAACATCAGGTGAAACACAACATATACAAGAAGTATGTGCTTAGTACTCTTAGTTGATGGAAAAGGCATTAAATAATAGTTCAAATAAATAACTTATACGTAATGCTTGTCACTCCCATGACTTATTGGACATTGGAATTGAAGCCATAAAGGAAGAAAGGACAAGTTCGTAAATGGTAAAGTTAGGTAAGGCCACGGTAATACCGTGAAGTTTCAGCGTTGCAGCCGACTTCATCATGTTTTTCCCTCAACAATTCTACTGTCCTATTTGTTTAATGCTCCAAAAGGCCCTCCCGCAGCAACTCACTGGAGGCGAGCACCCGGGCGCGTTTGTGCTCGTAGTGCAGCCTGGGCGCCACCTCGTCCAGCGCCACCACGGCGCACGCGGCCAGCACGCCCGCCTGCCGCATCCCGCCGCCCAGCATCTTGCGCACCCGCCGCGCTCTGCACACACCGTCGCCGTGTGAACTCCCTACTGATGGCCAAAGGCCGGCTCGGTACAGAGAGTATTAAGGCATACTCATTGCTAAACTGAAGAAAAGTAACAGCATATAACATATGCCCCATTGCTCGGCAAAAATCTCGTCTGTACAGAGGCCATTAGGGCAAAGACCACCAAAAGACTCCATGTGACTCCACTGCGGATTGGCAGACTTCAAATAACTTTCAGCCTGCTTGAGCGCTCTGCTGAACATGAACCTCCCCCACAGACCATCACCAACATCCATCGACTGTGCAGGAAGTCAATGCATGCAGTCGACTTCACATATCTTGGAAATATTTCTTTTTGTTTTTATTTCGGAAATACTCATTCTCATCCTTTACCCACTGGACATGTGATGAGCGAGTATTCCAAATCACAATTAAAAATTTCACCAGCAGACAATGATGACTATGAAGCCATTAGAAGTGCACAACTCACTGTTCAATGAAATGGTAGGAGCCAACTAGGGCGGAGCCCACTGGTGCGGAGAGGCCCTTGCTGAAGCAGAGCGACACCGAGTCGCAGGGCTGCACCAGCCGCGCTGGCGCTTCGCCCAAGTATGTGCTCGCGTTGAGCAGCCTCGCCCCATCCATGTGCAAGGCCAGGCCGCGCCTAGAGCATACCTCGCCCAACCTGTCGACCCACTCTTGAGGTAGCACCTGAAATTAAGCCGATAATAACAGCCCGTGTTTTCAATACAAGGTATTGACTTTGGTGCCAGGGGCCCTGGATTCAATTTCCACACATGACAACTATTTGCAACTACACAACTATAACTGTTCCGGATCTGGGTGTTTTTCCACATGAAATTTATGTTTGTAAAACCATCTTAAAACAAGATTGTATAATCTATATGATTGGGGTTTGTAAAAATAAAAAAAAAATTGCAGTCGAAGGTCCCAAAACCTTTATCAGTCTCAGAGTTTGTTACAAAAGTGGATTTGGTTCATATCAGTAATATTTTGCATGCTATATAAAAATTTGCATAACATGTGGTACAGTATTTTTGATTTATAACACCTTGTGAAACCATGTTATGAGCAAATAAATAAATAAAAACTTTTCTGAGACTATCTTAAAATCACTGCGAGTATAATATTAAAATCGATACAATCTGCGAGCAAATTTCTTGGAATATTTTTCAATTATGTGATAATGTAACCATGTTGTCCAAAGAATTTAATTTCGGCCAAAACTCAGTATAAGTGAATATACTTCGTTTTCCTATTTATGACTGATATATAAATATAAATATATATATATATGAAAAACACTCTATGGAGTAAACTGCTTAAGGTAAAGTGTAAAAAGCTTATTATTTTTGATTGTATTAAATAGTGAATATTATATAATAGAGATAACATATCTAGATGTATCTTTTCTTTTCGGACCAAATTCATTTTTGATCAAAACTCCTGTTCGGATGGACTTCTTCTTAAGCGGACATAGATTTAATGAATCGGTGCACCTAGATACTGTATTATTTTAATACATTACCCTTACTTTATTTGTCCTGTGTTGTAAGGATGTTTTACAAACATAATTTTCCCATTTCCCAACACCAAGACCCCAAAAAATTATCTGTGGGTCACTCAAATAATAGACCCGTGTAAGAGTCAAACCCATGGCCCCCTTACGATACATACCTTGACAACTGCACCATGAAGTCAGACCATTTGATAAATTAAAAAAAATAAATATTGTTACAAACCTTCCCACCACACACATTATGAGTGTTCTCAATTGCAACCATGGCACTGACAGGCTCGTGAAGGTCACTTCCTCGTATACGGCTCTCTAGCTCTTCTAGGTCAAAAGTCCCATCCGATTTGTTTTGAAGTGTGCTCAATAATACACCACCTACATGTGAAACACCTCCTAAAGCAGAATAATAACAAATGTTAAAGCAGCAGAATAATAACACATTATTACACTGTTCTTGTTTTTAAACTGTATATTGACAATTTTAGTGTAGTTCATGTTTCCCAGAAATAAGCTTAATTTTTCTGGGTTCGTATAAAACATCAATATGCCTTTTACTTACTATTTGGCTTGTATTTAAACTTACCATTGCTGAACATGAGGAAAAAACATTCCGTAGTTTGCATGCACGCAACAGTCCAAATGGGCTGGTCTATCTGGGGAATTACCACAGCCTCACAGAAGACCAGTGTGAAGTGGCAGTGTAATACATCAGCATTTCTTCTGGTGACTAAAGTTGCTGGTGCTACTTTTTATTAAAATGTTGCAATGCATCTTAAAGGTGATGTTGCAAAGGTCCATGGTTGACAGTTATCACTTAAAATCAGGTGTACCATCAGCTTACTTGCCTTACCTTCTCACATAGAAAAGAAATATTCCTGTGATTGTAGAGAAATACTTGTGATATTGTAGTTTTATAATATAAACTAAAAAACCTACTTCAATTACCAAAATAACTTGTTAATATGCTAAAAATTAAATACAAAATACCTTGTTCATATTTGTAGATATGCGAGAGATGTCCAGCGAATGCCTCTGAGCCTCTCTTGTTACAGTGCACCATTACTGCAAATAATGATTGAGAAGTCATTAAGTACAAGAAATGTGATAAGTACTGAAACAAATTTTAGGTAATGGAAAATACCTTTTTGATGAATAATTTTAAATTACACTTGGTGAACTTGATGAAAGAGTTCAATTAGTTGAACATGATTGATAGTGAATAAAAATATTTTTTTTGAATAATCTTACCAGCTATCAAGTTGGCCATAGTACCCGATGGCACAAAAAGTGCAGCCTGTTTGCCCAAAAGTGTCGCCACTTTGCTTTCTAAAGCATTCACGGTCGGATCTTCTCCATATACATCGTCTCCAAGAGCAGAATTCACCATCGCATGCTTCATAGCTTTGGTGGGTTTTGTTATCGTATCCGATCGAAGATCTACTATATACGCCATGCCTTTTTTTGATAATTTATTTAAATAAATAAGTAATATGCTAAAATGTGCAATCAGCACAAACCCGACCAAGATCACTTTTATTGAAGTCAAGACTAAATCTTGCTTATCTTAACATGTAACAACTGCTATCACAAATAATAGCCTTGAAGTAGTGACATAAATCATGTAAATGAAAACAAATTGTTACACAAGTGTTACATGAAGACAACTGCTTACTCCGTAGTTCATTCATATTTCATTCATACTCAAATATAGGCCATCCTAGGTTCTACTTTCTACGGATTTTAATTACAATCAATTATTATCTTCAGGGTAAAAAATGGTAAAATTAGTTTTAACTAACGATTATTGTCAAAGTTTAAATTTTATCGTAATAAGAATCTTATTATCTTACACTAAGAACGAAATTCATATTTCAATTCAATTCCTCGGTCGAATTTTGAATGCTGCCATATAAAATAAATAATTTTAGCGTGCGCCAAGCGCTAAAGTGGTAACAACTTTCGTTCGAGAATAATAATTTAAGTTAAAATTATTGTCAACATAATAGGTAAATTATATCATGCCGATGCTATTATTTGTACCTAGGTCACGTACTAATTTATTACGTTTTACACCATTGACTCGTGCACTTTGTACACTACCTACAGTAGCTAATCAAATAGATTTGTTTAATTGCTCACTAAAAAAGTTAATACTGGCTACATTCTAGGTCCTTAGTGTCTAGTTCTAGTTAATATATCTTTGTCTTTAAATTTATATTAAACTAGCGGACCTGACAGATGTTGATCCTGTATACATGTGTTTAATCGGAAAACTTCAAACTTTTTAATAAGTTTGGAAATCTAAACATCCTCTAATCCATCAGAAGACACAAAAAAAATCACTAAAATCAGTCCAGCCGTTTAGAAGGAGTTCAGTGACATACACACGTACAGAAGAGTTATAATTAATACCTATTTAATATTATTAATATTAATGACATATCTAAATGTATTGATTTTGATTGTTGAACTTCACTATCGAATTAGATATTGTCTTTTTTTAATGTGAAAAGTTGCCAAGCGAGCAGGCGGTTTACCTGATGTTAAGTGAATACCGCCGCCCATGGACATCTGCTACACCCGAGGGTTGTAGATGCGTTGACAACCTTTTGAAAACAACCTTCTTTTACCTTACTCACCAGACAAAACGCGAAATTATTAAACTTCCACTTGAAGCCGGTCTTCTGTGAGGTTGTGGTACTTATCCGGACGAGCCTACCCATTCGTGCAACAGCCGAGGCTGCTGCGTGGCCCTACCACCGTTAATGTCTGTAATGATACTTGTTAGTTAATGTATAAAATAAAATAAAAATGCTAATAATATATATAAAAATATAAAATAATGCTTAAATTTAATGAACGGTGGTAGGGCCACGTAACAGTGTTCGCTGTTGCACAGATGGGCTGATCCGTCCGGGTAAGTACCACGACCCCACAGAAGACCGACGTAAAGTAGAAGTGTTGCATTTCTGCGTTTCGTCTGGTGAGTGAGTTGGCTGGGGCCCACATTATTAAGAGATGGCAACGCATCTGCAACCCTACGGGTGTTGCAAATGTCCATGGGCAGGCGGTTATCACTTAACATCAGGTGAACTGCCAGCTCGTTTGCGATTTTCTCACATAAAAAAAAACAATTTAATTAACTCCCCATCCGACTACGCCTCGCAGCAAGGATGTGACGATAGAGGACCATATGGGTTACCGACGCTGCGCTACCACATTTAGCGTGGCACAAAACGCATTCACTCTCAAACATACACTAGGTGAAGTGCGTTCACCGGTGAACACGAGGTTTCTGATTCACAGCGTGCACGCTCAGGGCATCAGGGCAACCATTGCACGTTGATTCACATAGGTCGTTTGTTATTTAACTGTTTTTCAGTATCGGGAACGCATACCAATGTGCGCTAGTTACGTTATTAATAACGAAATGCTTAACGTTTTTTTTAAAAGATTAATGATTTTCGGGAATAGATCATTTTTTTAAATCATGCGTTTCATACGTAATGTAATTCTTGTAAATTAATTGTTTTAGAATATTAATATGTTTCGTATATTACTTTCGTATAAACTATAGAAGTAAACTTAATTTTTTTGTGCCGAATATGGTAACTAATTGTTGTTATTAAAAACGATTAAGTCACTCAGTTAGTTTTCTATTACATTAAACTCGATAATAGCAGTCAACTCATGTCTTGTATTGTATTGGAGAATAAGTATTAACAAAAATTCTCCGCCAATCAGAGTTGCCTAATTTCAACGGTCATCACGTGGACTTCGTCACTTACGTCAAAATTTTAGTCTGACTGTCCAATGACGAAAAAAGGAATTGGTGCGTTTTATGCGCTCGTTTATGTCATTTTCTTAATTCCAAAAAGTGATTTTAGCTAATAAAGTAGTATTATTATATTTATACATTAAGTTATAAGTTGATAGCATTGACCTTCTTTACATTCCGTCCAGGAAAACATCGAAAGTTTTGAAGTACATAAGACTGAAGTCAACGTGAATTCGGGCGTCGACCGGTTCATCCCTCCTACCCGTAATAACCGTTGCGATTCTGTCAGTCGTGAGTCGTGTCAGTCGCAATCGTAATTTTGTACGTGTCGTATCATCGAGCTAACGACATTAGAAGAACGTTGGGGTGCCTTTAAAACAGAGTGTTGTGTGCAGTGTCTGTAGGGGCGTGCGTTTAATGTGGTATTCAGCGCCGGTATTAGGTTATCGCAAGTCGGGTCGCGCGGCGTGATTGGGCGCGATGGTGGACATGGATAGGAACGACCCGGAGCTCCGGTACCTGTCGGTGGACCGGAACAGCTTCAATGATCCGGCCACGCAAGCGGAATGGACCCAAAAACGTTTAGTGTGGGTGCCCCATGAGACACAGGGTTTCGTTGCGGCAGGGATAAAGGGAGACCGCGGAGATGAAGTCGAGGTGGAAATTGCAGAGTCCGGCAAGCGGATGCTGGTGCCGATAGATGATATCCAAAAGATGAACCCGCCTAAATTTGACAAGGTAGAGGATATGGCAGAGTTGACCTGCCTCAACGAGGCTTCTGTGCTACACAACATCAAGGACAGATACTATTCCGGCCTCATCTATGTAAGTACAATAATGAACTGCAATATTTCAGGACAAACTTATTTATAATGCTTGCACTTTCTTACATTTCAATAATTTTTTTTTATCCCAGAATACTGTACAAACATAGTTTTAAGTGTAACTTAAGGTAAACTGCTTCCAAGGTTTAACTATTACTAAAGCTATGGTTACACACATGGCTCTTCACTCACTAGGATTAAAAGAGGTTATGACATTTCAGCATTTATAATTCATATGGTCTGTTTACTTTCATTTACGGTTGCAGTTTTTTTTTTTCAAATCATTTTATAATGTAATCATGAAAAGTTAAAAAGCCTCTGTTACTAGAGTTTTTGTAGAAAGTAAATAGTACAAGAATTTGTTGAATTTCCAATTAAGTTATTTTTCCAATATAAGATAGTAACTGCAAGACCAGAATTCCATATTGATATCTTAATATAATTATTTAAGATTAGCTCTCAATAGCCCTAAAAGGAAACTTTGCCTGGTTATTTCAGTACTAAATGAGCAGATGGGTGACAGAACATTGTCATCTCTCACTGATGCTAACAATTTGAATCTTACTATCCAGAATATGTCATTTAGAAATTAAGCCGCTAATATAAGATAAAAGGACATCAAAGTGAAATCTCTTTGACTACAAAGAGTGAAAAGAGAAAACATGTTTTTCCAAATGTAAGTCATACAAATTTTTGCATTCATGAAATAGTGGTTGCCACTACCAATTGAGCTCATATCCTTGACTTGTGTTACAAGTTTGCATTCTATGCTGACTTAATCTGTGATATCCCTTAAAGTTGTCTTTTTACCTATAATGGGTAAGCAGATGTCAGGATTTTTCCCAACCATTGAGACAAACTGAGGTTAGGATATGTAACTGTTTTACTTGCTTTTGTCAAATTCAGTTGTTACTACTTTATTACTATCTAATGTATAAAATTCTTGTGTCACAGTGTTTGTAATTGAACTCCTCCGAAACGGCTCAAACAATTATCGTGAAATTTTGTGGGAGTATTGGTCAGGTTGGAGAATCGGACAACATCTATTTTTCATCCCCCTAAATGTTAAGGGTGGACCACCTCAAACATTTTTTCTACCCTACAAATAATTTATATGGCAAAATGTTTGCCCAGTCAGCTAGTTTATAAATAAAATAACAAAAAACAAGAATCATTCACAGTTTTATGGAATCCAATGGCAACCAAACTATCAATGCAAACCAATTTTTATATATTTTTAAATATGCATATAATAAAAACCATCATTGTAAGAAATAATAACATCTCTATACTTAAACTTCACAAGGGTTTAAAGGTGTCTTTGGATTTGTATTTATATTAAAATTAATCTACCCAATTTAATGCTACCTTGAAAAACAATTTTTCAAGACAGTAATTTTGTTTTTTGCTAAAATACCAAATGTATTTTGTAAATTGATGATGTCATTATTGGAATAATTAAACAATAGCATTTTAATTAAGCTGACTAATCAGGTACTGGTTACATATTTAACATTTCTAAGTAAGAAAACTATGCTAATTTACAACATTATGGTAATTTACCAAGTAAAGATAACTTGGTGTTTTTCTTTAAAGCAATTAAAAATAAATGCAAATTGGGTTTTGAATTTAATTATTACGCATTGTTTACCCACCATGTTATCAGTTCAAGGAAAAGTAAAACTGGAAATATCCCTTCATATTTGTTTATTTCTCTATTCTTATCACTATTAATAAGGATGGCTTTATTTATTTGCACAATTATTGTTATCGCTTAATTATCGGGAAATTAAAAAATATGTATATGTGAATCATATGAAATATCTGCGTGTATATGTAAATAAAATAATATTTTAATTGTTACAAGGTATTGTTTTATGCTGTCAATTGTGATATCTTTTTTGACTATATTGAAATTGAATAATGATTAAAGTCATATGAAGGTTTCGGTAATAATTTCAAAGAGACTTTTCATAATAAACTTTCTGTGTCATTTACAACATTCTTTACGATTTTTTTACACCATAACATGTACAGGTTATGGTGTCCACGCTCAGATAATATCGAAGTTTGGAGGCGTCATTTAATGTGACTTATATTTAGGCACCCAAATCGTGACGTTATCGGTATGTTTCGCGTACATGTTTTCCTCTTGAGCCACGTTCGCCATGTTCACCATAATAACCGCCACAATGAGTCACGTGATATAACAATGGCGGTACGCGGGGCGCGCGCTTTTTTTTGACCCAACTTTTTGGTGGTCATCGTTCGTACATACCGAATTAACATAAACCACTGTCACTCGTAAGAGTGTGACGTTTTGTTTTAATAAATCATTGTACATCTCTCCCGTTTTGGAAACGTTAATGATTATCGGAGCCAATCGCTCATCACTGAATCTTTTTTAAATGAAAATAAAATCCCGCCAAATTTCACGTCACTTAAAGATCGATTGGTGTAAATATGTACATAAAACTTTTTTCCCTTACATTTTTGCGATTGAAACTACTCATTGTTAAATGAAATACGAATTTTCCCATATTGATAAAATCTTTATAAGTACTTTAATTTCTATAAAATGTGACATAAAAAATCAACAAAGACAGTTACTTATTAACTCCGTAAAACTTGAACAATGCCTTAGGACGAGCTGGCAACATCGCCAATTTCGAGTGCCTCAGTCCCTATAAGCGCGGCTTGCAATACCGCTGACGAAAAATGATGACGTATCGCAAATATTTAATGCAGATACGACGATTGTGTTAATACTTTATTTTAGAACATAAAGGTCGTATAGGTATATAACATAATCTTCTTATAAAAAATATTATATATTTGCTCTCTATATTTTTCTAAACCATTGAAGTAATTGTGTAATAACTAACATAATATATGAAACTTATTGAATTAATTTTCAACCTCTCATAAGTATGCTCTGAAAAATTATCGAAAATCAAAAACAATTATGCAGATTATTATGATTTACGTTCAGAGTAGAGAGTAATGCGTAAGTTTCGTTTCGGGGGTCCGCAACCGCATACTTTATCTACACACTCAGTCAACGTAACTTGTCAAAACAACGTTAAACAATGTCATTCATTACCTTTAATGCGAGTTCAAATAGAGCCTTGACTGCAATATCAGTATAATTTTCTATCAAGATAAGGATTTGAGGGATAATTTTTTCACTTATCAAATGTTTCCGTTACGCGATAATTTGTTGTTTACTTATCATCACTTTGTAAATTATTTTCAGTAACATCGGCGTGCGTACTTTGGGTATTAAGTAAAGTGTCAGGATTTAATATCCTGACACTTTACTAATAATTAATTCGTAGGGGCTACTTCTATATTTTCGATGTGAACTTGACTAGGTACATTTTTTCAATACAGCTTATTGAAATCAGTATTTTTTGGTTAAATATTCCGTCTTTCTGTGCTACAGATATATCCATTTGGTGATTTTTTTAGATGGATAGTGTTTAATATAACAATTATAATGTCTTCTTTTTTCTACATATGTCCAGTAGCTTTTTCTTTCTTTTTGAAGTTATAGTTCTTTTGGCGCGTTTGGAAGGAATGATGAGTGTATTATTAAGATGCGCGACACCAAGTTCTTGGTGTTGTTACCTTAGCAATCAATAACAACTTTTTGACATTTATCTATAATTCCGAGTTATTTTATTAAATCGTTATAAAAGAAAAGTTCAAAATACTATAGTTCCATTATTTATTTTAATATCATTTTCCCACAAACAAGGGGTACAGACTGGCACACGGGATAAAATTTTTAGTTATATTTGTTTTGTTACGCTAAAAAAGTATACTAACGTAACTATTTACGTGCTTTGCTCAACTACCAACAATCCGACTACAATCGTGACTTACTACGTTTGCATATAACCATTAACCACTATTGCTATACTATACTATTATGCATAAATCCTATTTAAATTGATATAACACCTTAAGAGGACGTTTTTAATCTTACGGAATAATAATTCTTGAACGTGTATTTGTTACGCTCTTTCTGTGTTATAATATCTGTCGAATCTTGCCCTTAATCTACATCGTAAGTTTTCACGTTTATTGGATAAACATTTTTTTATATGGAAGCTTAATGACATGGTAATAAATTTTGGTTAATATAATATTGAAGCTGTTTTAAACATTTCTTTTTAATCTCAGATGTTAATCTCAGACCGCTAAAAATAAAAGTTTATACAAGTAGTAAAATTTTTGCGTTCTAAGAACCCTCGAATTCTTTTCATGTTACTTCTTATATTTTTAGCTTCTTTATTAAATATAAAAGGTTGAGAATAAGTTACGGTAAAATTACGGATTACGGGTTCAAGTCTCGTGAGTTTTTCGGACTCATTGAAAACATAAATGCACTTACTCAATGTTGATGACAGTTTAAATTTAAATATTTATTTTTATTTTCAAATAAAATCAATTAAATTTAATAATACCATTCAACTGATTTGTTTCACCGTGTACCATAATGACAGATTTTTACTGCATTCATGGACGTAACTGTCGTGTATTGTCAAGTTGAGTAACTGTAAACGAAGCCACGTGCTTCCACTCAACTGTTTTGTCCAAAATCAATTGACAAACGCGAGAGGGTAAAGGATGCCTGATTCGCCTCCGCAGCAAAAGCTGCGGGCGAATTTTATTGAACCGCGTTTCGGTACCAGGCTCCCATAAACTTGTGGGGCAACGCGGCGTTCTTGTTTGCAAAGTTTGTATTTCCTCTTCGACTTCAATAGCTATAGTTAAAATTCTTGCTAAAAATTTTTACTTTCATATAAATATACTACACGGTATATTACGATACTTTAAAATAACAATGTAACTAGTTTGGAATAAGAGAGCATGTTACATTTCAATATTTGAAAACAAACCCCTTAGCCCTTGCGTTTCAGGGGTCAGAGTGTGTTAATGCCCCCGTCACCTTCTGCCGCCCTAGTAGACTGCGCCGAGCAAGGTTTAATCCTCGAAAGTCTATTAGATTCGTATGGGTTAAGTCGGAACGCCTGGTCAAAGCGTGCCCGAGATGAATGTCAAGGTGAGGCGCGCCGTCGGCCGAATCGGCCGCGCCGGTCGTTGAACCCGCGCGGGGCGAGGCGGGGACGCAGCGCGGCGGTGGTAGGGAGGGGCGGGGGGTCGGCCCACGCGAATATATGCGTCTCGTTTAACCTCCAGCGACGCTCTGCCGCCCTGGTACTTGCGGTGAACCCCGCCGCAGCGATGTCGCCAAGATTAAACTTTTTTTTTCTCTCGCACCTCCTTGCTCGGTCGCACACCGAACAACTGTATGCTGCCAGAACAATAGATTGGAAACGTTGGTTATCTGTGCGCGGGGGGACAGTGAACCCTAATTTACCTACCGAGTTACTTGATTAACGGTCCGAGAGAAACGTTAAATCATTGAGGTGTCATTTTAATTGTCCTAATAAATGTCTAAGTATATATAAGTCTAATCTACATATACAAATAGTGTGTAACATTCAAGCGGTTCTCATCGGCATGTTCGCATTACGGGCTCAAACGATTACATCGTTACCCTATTGACTCGGCAATGCTTATTTAGATTACGTTTTTAAAAACAATACTAACCGAAACATTTGGCAGAACGCGAACTAAAGTAGTGGTGTCTTATAATCGCTTTTTAATGTACCATCAATTCCAACTTTGTGTAATTTTCACCGCAACAATCGATTTCCGACAGTCGAAATCGATTACGGTGCGATTTTACAGAAAAGATTAAGTCTATCCGCTTCTTTCCCCGAGACTATAATTTGAATCTAAGCAAGTTTTTTTTTTATTGAATAAGTTAGTAGCTTTTAATTACTAAAGCTTAATTCGCGAATAAATATTTATTTCAAGCCCATGTATTCATTCAGATGATCTATTTCTTAAATTAGACTCAAAATTTGACACGGAACGATTTGTTTTCTTAAGTGAAAAGGCAAGCATGTCAATACCTGACAGATTGTAGAGACGTAGCCAACCTTTAAAAATTATGGCTCTTAAGAGCACAAGTACTACTTTTACTTCAAGCTGGTCTTCTGTGAGGTCGTGGTACTTCCGTTGACGAGCACACCTTTACGTGCAACAACGACCATAAGGACACATACCAGACTCATCGGGTCTTTCGATTCCAGATCATTGCTTTCTTTATTTTTTATTTTTTGTCGATTTGTTATTTTGTTATTTTTTTCCCTTTTTTTATATTTCTCTCTTTTGTGAAAAACACCAGTTCATATTTTCTTATTATTACGTCGGTAAGATCGAAAAATGTTATGCATATTTCATTACTCAGTAATTTGTATCTAAATGTAATTTCGAAAGTACATGATTTACCAGGTACTATTATTAAATTTAATTAAAATAAATAAATAAATAAATAAAAATTAAATCTGCCTATCACTACTATATACTACTATATTCATATGGATTTAACTTTCTGCAATTCTGATATTTCTGCACATCACTTTATCACCTTCCTTCGAACTCAACAGGTCTTCGCACACTAATTATTCAGTAATGCGTACTATTTACACCTTTGTCCATTGTCTTGGCTCAGTATAGTACCTTCAACCAGGTCGATATATTACCTTTAATTTTGCACCATGAATTGTATTCCTTCCTTACTTTATGCAACCCTTATACACACTCTAACCAGAATCGCGGTCAATGTAATCAGTTGACTTTAATGCGATAAAACTTGTCATTGTGGACCATAACCTGCTTTCATTTGTAATATTTTCATTTAGTTATATTCAGATCCGCTCAAAAGGAGTGAACATTGTTAAATAAGTTTATTGAAAAAAAAAATGGGTTCGTGTACTTATGTACGCCCGTGAGAATTTATACTTCTTTGGCATCATTAGAAAATAGTTTTTAATTGTATGCAAATAATTAGTTATAATAAAATATTAGAAAGACTGGAAAAGGATATAACTAATAAAAACAATAAAATTATGAAAGCGCCATCTACATTCTTTATTGATAACTGTAACGGGTGAATGTGATTGAGAATCAGCATCAAACGTGTGACTTTTGTGTTACATCTAAAAATTTCACTCTCATAATTTTTTCATAACGCGCCTAAAGAAGTATAACTTTAAAAAAACTACGTTCCAATTTCCGTAGCGAAGATTGTTTGAAAATGGCTATCACCGGCCTGAGAACTATAATTAGGAAAATTAAGTTCTAGCACTTTCTGCATGAACTCGAATTCACTTAAAAATCACCGTAGTCTGTAGCTTAATATAATACGACGTTTGGATGCCAAAGATCTTTCTGTGCCTCGACCATGTATCCCGTATGGGTATATATATACGAAATGTCTGGAATTAAAATTTAAATTAAGAACTATTCTAGCTGCTGAAACTCATTTTATCAGCGCGACATTAAAAGATAGCTCCTGGCTAGCGGCTGGCTTCCGCGGCGCTTGTTTATTATCCCACCATTGCTGGTTGGTCGTAGTTCGCGAGTTATCGACCGTAAACGCGATTTACGGTGCGCCGTCACGTCTCCAGCGGATGCTATATGTAATTTTAACCTTAGACGCGTGACGTGTACGCGCTTTCAATCGGATCGGGCCCGGCCTCCGCCACGATCCGGTTTCCCCGAAGTTTTGCTCTCGCCGATGTATCGCTGCTCCGCTATGCTCCCCTGGTCTTGTGAAATCGGCTTGGAGCAGTTTGTTTCTCAATCACGCAAACATATGGGCGGTTGGTGTTTTCAATCCTGATGCGGGATTTGTATTTCGTGTGGTAGGAGTCGGGCAGTAAGTCTTATTTGGAAAACATTGTCCCTTACTGTGGGATAACATTAAACTGTTTTAGTAAGGACGTTTTAACATACATAAATTTCACGTGGACAAACACCCAGATCCGAAATAACTATCTGTGCGTCACACAAATAGTTGTCTCGTGTTGGAATCGAACTCACGACCCCGGCGGCGAAGCCAATACCTTGACAACTGTGCCACGGAATCATCATCCTGATGGGGTAGATATTTAACGATATACTCCGTTCGCCGAGCTTGTAAATCCCAATTACGAGATAAGCCAACCTTTGTCACCTTGTCAGTTACAGTGTTCGGCAATCGAATTCACATTAAATCGGAACCTCGTATACTTGTATTTAAAGTTGCTGAATCACCAATATCGAAATTTATTAATCATGGTATTAAGTAGTACTAATACCATGATTCATAAATTTTATAAATCCATACTAATATTATAAATGCGAAAGTAACTCTGTCTGTCTGTCTTGCTTTCACGCCAAAACTACTGAACCGTTGTACCAAATGAAATTTGGTACACAGATAGTCTAGAGCCTGAGAAAGGACTTAGGCTATTTATTAATAGAATAAAAGTGTTGTAAAGGGTCGAAAATATCTTTCTTTAAAAAATATAATATATCGTTTTTAAAGAAAGATATTTATTTAAGGGCTTCAACGCGAGCGAAGCCGCGGGCGAAAAGCTAGTAATCACATAAGATAGGAGCAGTTGCGGAAAACGTATGGAAAACATTAGTAACAATGAACTGAAAATGTCCCATATCAAAAAGCCCAGAGAGCCCCTGATGTGAATAATGTTCTTTGACAATGCACGGATTAACCGTTTTTCGGATTAATTATTATGCACGGAATACATAAATTTGGACAATAAAATATATATTGTAATTAGTTTCCTTTGATTTATGTTTTTGTTTGACCTTCAAACGGACAAAATTAACATTGACTTCATAGAACTAGTTAGGTTAGGTAAGCGTAAGATTTTCCAAAGCTCGAACTCCTCATCGGCTAATGTTATGCTTTCAGGAAGATTATATCAACTTGTTACTCCGTGTACAAATTTTAGAATAAATGTTCTTCGTTCGCGTGTTAATATACCGTGAATCAATCATAAAATCATTACATGCATTGATGTTTTATCCTGCGAACAATTAAAGAAGTGTTGTTAACTTAAAACTATATTCAAAAGATTTTATTTTAAATAAAACTTCTAAACAGTTTCATTAAAACATCGGCAGAAATCGTGTAATTTATTCAAGAATTCGTTATAAGATGTTTAAATAAAAACATTCGTTCGAAATTTTCGATAAGAAAATCCATTGCTAACATTCGTCGACCCCGCTACACTAGACTGCGAGTACGTCACTCGATAATATCGATAAGACTGCAATCAAACCGATAAGCTTATTTCTGTGGAGGTGATTTCACTAGGTCTTTGCTTGTTTTGTCGAAAAACTTATTTGGACGCAGATAAAACGCTCACATAAGACTGCATTTGCTTTATTCCTAGCATACACACAATGGCTATGTAAATTATTGTATACAGGTATTTTATTTTTATGCTATCAAGCCTTTGTATTTTTGCAATCCTTGACGGCCAGTGTTAATTGTTGTCAAAAGTTCCCAATCGGTTTCAGCTAGATGTTATAATGTCATAATAACATTTACATATTTTTGTTGTCAGATTGCGGCTTATTTGATTATATGTTTTGGACGTTATTAGTTGTTATGGCAATTAATATGAAATTTGTGTTTTTAAACGGTTTTATTTAGCTCGAGCCGTACGGAATTTATTTGGGTCAAAATTAGAAATTGAAATTTAAGCACCTTCCCGTTGTCAGATTAATCTGAAATTTGGTACACACATTTAATTTAGATGACAATAACAAATATAAAATATTGTAGTTTTCAGTGCACATAAAATAAAACCGTTTAACTTTAAAGTTTTTAAACGGTTTTATCTCTATTTAGAACGTAAGGTTTGGTATAAATGCATTGAATGAAAAATATATATACGATAAACGGTAGTAATATTCAAATAAAATGGTAAGTCTAGGCTGTGTGTAAAGAAAGCATAAAAACCGGCCAAGCGCGAGTCGGACTCGCGTACAAAAGGTTCCATAACATTATCTATAAAAACGGTAAAAAAATCATATCAGTTGTATGGGGGCACCCATTTATTAAACTTAAATATTTTTTTATTCAATTCTTTACAATTTGTTTCTATAGTGGCAACTGAAATACATCATCTGTGAAAATTTCAACTGTCTAACTATTTCTAGTTGAAATTTTCATAGATATAAGTAGGTATCTAATAGAACTTAAATAGAAAAAAAAAAACAATAGAACCGTAAGATACATGAGATACAGACAGACAGACAGTGGAGTCTTAGTAACGGAACTTAGGTACGGAACCCTAAAAAAGGGAATAAATGTTTGAAGTCCATGTTCCTATGATCTATAATTGTGATTTGACGATATAATTAGTATTTAAAACGGTCCTCTCTGGCGTTTGTTATAAGTAAGTTTTATCACCTACCTAGATAATACCTAAGCGGAACTTTAAAACAATGCAGGATTAACAAGAGAAATAAGCATTCAAAAGCCGAACCGGATCCATCCAGTACTTTTACTAATCACCTGAGATTGGTCAATCACTGTCAGTGTTTCCAAACACCTACCTCTACTACTCTAGGCTCTAGACTACTCCAACGTGCTGTTCTAGACAGGCGCGATTGCGTCTGGCATGCTTCACCTTGTCTATGACCAACGCCCCGACGGCGCCTCGAAAATCCAAGACTCACCCATCGCTCATCGCCTAATGTAATACTGAAACGACTGCCGCGGTACAGTACATTCAGTCTTAATTAAGTGCTTCGCCTTCCAATCGAAACGAGAGCCTCGCAGCCCGAGAATAAGGTTGACAGTCGCGTGCTCAGGGAACCCGCATTACCTCTCGACGAGTCTGAACCGCACCCTAGGCAGACGGCGAGCCCTCTGAGGCGGCGGGGCGCTGTGGGGGCAGACAGAGAGGGGGAGGGGGCGCACGGGTCAAATGAAAGTTTCAGACGGCAACGAACTGCCGGTATTACCGGATACATCCGACGTATACCGGTTGTTGTGCAGACGCCCCTAAAAGGGAGGCTGATATGCTAGCGGCAAGGCAATTGGTTCTCCAATTTCCCGATCCGTTTTCTCGATTGTACGCCCGATAACATTTGGCTTGGCTCTCGTCCTAAGTGACCTGAATGTGTGATGAGGTTTTGTTTCGATAAATAACTGTTTAACATCACTACATATTATAAAACAGTCCCGCTGTCCGCTGTCCCTTTTTATGCTAAGATCTTCAAAACTACGCAACGTATCTTTTATTTTTGTTTTCCACCGAAAGTTATAACATCATATGATCATCTTAATAACTAGAGCATTTCACAATAATAATTAGTAAAACATGCCGGAGATACGCAACGGATCTTGATGCGGTTTTTTTTACTAGGTAGAGTGATTCGAGAGGAAGGTTTATACGTATAACATACGTACATTGTATACGTATACATTGCAACCGTGCGAAGCCGGGGCGGGTCGCTAGTGTTCATATAAGGCCGAGAAAACCTCTTCTATCGTTATATGCTTGAGCTCTTATTTGTTAATTAGCTTTGAAATTAAATGAACTCCTAATATATTCGTTCCTTAACTTTGATTTAATGATAACTTAATTGATTTACTTATCGGGTGACTCATTTTTTTTAATTAGTTCGTGGTTTTTTCCCGTAATATCATAAAGAAGTTGGCCCGATTGGCGTGGGGAGTAGTGAACCTGCCTTATGCGCCTGAGGGTGTGGGTTCGATCCCCTACTTCAAAAATATTTTGTGACGAACATAAGTGCTTTTCCGGTGTCTGGGTGTTTATATGAATAATATGGATTAAAATTGAAATTTATTAATATATTTAAGTTTATTTTGTGATGTTGGAACGCAGACATTGCGTAAACATACTTCTGTAACGAGGAAACATTTTACTAAGTTACGGACGCACAGGCAGGAAACGTTCAGTATCAATGTTCTATATTCCCAAGTCTTGTATGCACTTTGTAATTCGAAAAATTACAAAATTCTTACGTGGGCCTGTTAGTTTCAAGCTACGTTACTTCAATGTGGGGCTAAGTTAGAAGGAACTCTTTTCCATTCTAGTACTAATCTGCTATTGGATATTAATTAGGAATTGAAAAGTTTTCAACGTTATGTGGACAAAGCATCCCGCAGTGTTATTATTACAACCAGTTTTCTTTACAGCAACCACACTTTGCCAAATGATATATTTACAATGAATATTTGAATTTAACTACTGAACTTCGACTACGACAACTATCACTATGACTTCTCTATTATTATATTATTGACGATAGATCGAAGTGGAGAGCAAAAGTAAGGAAATCTGACCCCACCACCATATGGGATACATAGCTTGGAAGAGAGAGAGAGATAGAGAAAGAGAGAGAAAAAGATAGAGAAAGAGAGTGGTATTACATCTCTGCTTATGGAATGGATTTTGGGTTATGGTAGTAGAGTGGCCTTTCTAGTAAGATGTGGAATTTTCCGTACCCGTTTTGTATGTGTTACTTCGATAAAGCGTTATCGATTCGGAGGCAGTAGTTACCGGGTCGGTTGAGATTTTACGACGTTCGGCTACTGAAATAAAAAAAAAAACAAACGAAAATATCATGCGGTCCTAACGATAGCGTTTTATGACGAGCACACTCGAAACTGCGGCAGAGAAGTGTGCGGGGGCTATCCCGTTTCGAAACGGAATCTGGTGCTGAATGGCAGTGAAGAAATCTATTGATTTTTACCCGAGTTTTACTAGCGACCCGCCCCGGCTTCAAAATCAAAAATCAAAATCAAGATCAAATGTCTTTATTCAACATATTACACTCGCTTATTGATAGACAAAATACCGGTTCCGAAAAGAAAGCAACTGTACTCAGAAGAACCGGCGAAAGGAACTCAGACTCCAAACTCAGAAACTGAAACTTCGCAAGGATGCAAATTATTATACATACGAACCTCCCACTCGAATCACTCTATCTAGTAAAAAAATCCCATCAAGATCCGTTGCGTAGTTTTAAAGATCTGAGCATACTCGTTCATAGGGACACAGACAGCGGGACGACTTTGTTTTATACTATGTACTGACGCCACAGCAAAGAGACTTTTATATTTCAAGTGCCATTTTAGCACCTTTTAAGTATTATTAAGAATCTTTTGTATGGGAATATAGAAAAGTGTTTTTTTAGACTTTCTCCAGGCAATTTTTAAAATTTTTCTCTCCATAAGAATTTTATATCTATTGGTGAAATTAAACTCCCAGGTAATCCCAAACTCCCAACTATACGATAGATAATACCGTAGACCGTAATGAACAACACCCAAATGTAAACGATGGGAATCGAACCCGTCACCAGCGTCGTCAATGCTTGAAGCAGAGCAACCAATGGATCGTTCATTAGATCATCAATCGTGATACTTCAAGTTTTCTTAGATTTTCCACTGAGCTTCCCATCTAGTGCAATCTCTTAGGTGGCGAAAAAACGTTTTTACACATCAAAGGCGTCTTTAATAAAATGCCGATGTATTTTCGTATCGTCTACGGAATATAAACAAAGTGAACATATTGGGTTCAGAATGAATATTTCACTATTCAATCTGTTATTTCTTGATCTTTAACAAATTATAAAACAAAGCTTAAGAATTTCTGCATTCAATTTAGCGATGAATATGCTTGATACTTCCCAAGCATCACTTTTAAAGGAATATTTGATAACATAATACTTAAAGTAACAGCCTATATATGTCCCACTGCAGGGCAACGGCCTCTGCTACATCCAATTTTTCGCTTCACCTTAGGCTGAGTTTACCAATTTCGTTCGGGAATGTTCTATATTCGCTTCCAGCTAACGTCAGTTCTCAAAGGACGCTCAGTACAGGGCGGATTGGTATTTTTATTGGCGCAGCAGCCTCCCCGCTCCGTAGGCATAGCGTCCGCACTGCGGACGATTCGGGCGGGTCGATGGAGGACTGCTTCGTATGCTAGAGTATGTTAACTTTGTACAATTTCTTGTGTTTGTGATGAGCCGTGATAGCTCAGTCGATATGTGCGTTCTTTTAATAAAATGTACTCGAGCAACTTGAAATCAAACCGGTGCCGGCACCGATGATATTGTTATTGCAATTTTTAGGTGTTCATCGGCGAAGGAGAGCATTGTGAGAAAACTGTATTTTCTATATAATGACAAATAAAAATACTGAGATATTGTGAAGTCTGCCATCTTTGCTGTAGGATTGCGCTGTGGACTATGCCGTCAAAACCTACTTACTACTTAGCAGGAATTTTGCCGAACTATAGGACATAATATATAAGCTTTATCTTTAGTTTAACTGTGTTTGTGTTGTACTGTGCACCTCAGAGATCAGAAGAACCGAAGACTCATTGGTGCAATGACGTAAATAGACGTTTTAACAAAAGTAACAGTTGCCGAGCGAGTCCTTGACTATAATCGTGATGCGCGGAGCGTTACATCATCGCCGCATCCGAGTAAAATCGGACCGAACAGTCCGCTAATTGGCATAGCGCTCCCGCGATGATTTCAACGTCGATTTGAACCCACGACCTTTATTGCACCGCTTGTAGATTCTGTAGACGTTAGTTACGTTAAAGAATAGCCAGGATCCTCGTTGTAATCCATGATCTATATGTATAAAAATCGATGTATGTATGTAGCTTTTCTACAGATTCCAAAACGGCTGGACCAATCTTGAAGAAATTTTCAGGTAATCTTCAAATTCGTTTAGCGGGAGATCTTACGAAGTTTATTTTGTAGCGATCGGATTATATTTTTTTTTTTGGTAAATTGCATATTTGGGCCGGCCGTTGGTATATCTTGATTTGCATGTATTAGCTGTCACAGTGCCTTGACGTTAAAAGCGATTACTTTTGCTATTTGAGAAACTGGGCGAATTAAAGGGGTCCGCTGAAATCCCAGTAATTCAGGGTTTTAATATATTGTTAGTATTTTATCATTGAAAAGGTATTCTTGTTAATTGCATATCGAATTTATTGCCGAGCCGTCACTACAATTATTCTATTAATTTAGCAGAAGCAATATCTTGGACAGCGTAATCCGATCAGATTTCCGCTTCCATACGCGGCTCGTCTGGGACCATGCCAATTATAGGAGGCTCCTCGGCGTGTGCATCACTGCTTATGCGCCTCTACTCGATGACTTGTATGTCTGTCGGTACGATGATTATGTATTATTTCGTTGCAGTCTGTACGTGTTGTTGTTATTTTATTTGTGGATGTACCTACTACCGCATCGGCCTTAGCGAACACATCGTGAGTAAACGTGGCCATATTTGATGAGTAATTAGCGAATTCGATTTTACGCGTTCTCTGAATCCGTTGTGGGTTCGCTCGGCGGAGTATGATATCCTCTGAATAAAGGAGGTCTTTGCACAACCGTTAGTTATAATGTTTATGGATTGTCTATTCCTAATTTGAATGTTGCTCATAATTTTTTTTGTTTTTAATGATAATTTAGCGTGCATATGACTGGCAGGCTGTGGCCAGAGGCTTCAATTTAAGATATTATGTGCGATTAAACTAAATAACTTTACGCACCTGTTTTTGAGAACCGGGTATATTTTAGAAGAAAATTAGATTAGGTCACTTTTAACAGCTAATACTATAACTATTCCTTTTTTTATGTAAAAAGTTGTCAAATGAGCAGACGTTTCACCTATCGTCAAGTGATAACCGCCGTCCGTGGACGTCTACAACACGTGGTGGGTTACAGATGCGTTGACAACCTTTAAACTAAGCGAGCCCCGGCTACCTCACTCATCAGACGAAACGCGAAAGTATCATACTTCCATTTCACAACGGTCTTACATACAACCATAAGCAACGAATGCCACGTGGAAGGGAAACTAAAAAAACATGCATGTTTATATAGTACATTATGTGGCATGAAGCGGTGGAATACCTACATGACACAAACTTACACTGCCCTCGCTTAGAATGAAATATAATATAGACATTTAT